TACGAACAATAGAGGCAGACACCACGTACCAGAAAGTAAACGACATAGAAAGATAAAAAATGATTTATTGATTCATATACACAGCATTTAAAATAAACAATAAAAGATTTATAATAAATACAATTATAAAATATTCAATCATATGTTAGTTATGTTTAACATAAGTCTGTTAGAAAATCGCACTTTTTGGGAACCGCTGGTATATAGGTTTCTAACAAATTTGGAAAAAGGTTCGTATTACATTTGCGAACTAAATACAATTGGAAGGATCAAATATTCGTGGAACAGCGTATACAGCTTTTTGAGGCAGTAGCACCTTAAAAATTTTAATATTAAGAACCTAATCCTTTTGTGTCGTGGTCCCACCCAACGTTGGTTTTGGCAAGTTCATGTCTAGAACAAATTTTTACTTGTTTCGTACAATCTACTGTAAACACACACAAAAATGCGATTTATACCCTATTCCCATCCCTTTACATCAGAACCTGGGACATGAACGTGCCATAAACTGCCTATTGTAGCCTACATATCATCGTGGTGCCGTACCCTTTTGTTCTGCGTATTGTTCAAGAGTTTTATTTGTATATTTCATGTCATACTATAACGCAGCAGTCCTAAACTGCAGTTATACTTGTCGGGGTGCATGTCGCACATCTGTGTCCAAGGCCAGTGAGGTCTTGAACCTGTATCCCGTCTCTTTTATACCGTTTACCTATTATGCAGATACTGTTACATTTTTGAGGCAAATAAACATACACACATACTTGATTAATTTCTGATCACAGTTTAGTGTTTTTTTTTTGGTTGCTAAACCTCTTTTAACAAGTTGTTATAATAGAAAATCGTAATCCTAAAAATCGTATATTTTGATCAACAACCCAATTTGCCTTGTTTACAACTTATATTTCTACACAAACACATTTTGTCACAGAAATGCGAACGATAAAATATGGTGACTGGTTGAAAACAAAGTTTATTTGTTAAAAACAATGATCTTAATTAGCCTCTGAATCATACATATAGTTTACACCAATAATCAAGACACACCTACTTTTATTACCACATCGTCTCATAACTTTCCAAAATTCTGATTTCGTATGCTTTCTCGTAGACAGGTCAACAAACCGCGATTAAAACCCAACATGTGTTAAGCACTCCGTACCTTTTGTAGAAAGAAGCTAAAATTAGATTCAATATAATATATGCGGTATGAATGTCATACATGAGGAGAAGTCCCTATCTATGGGCCGATACTGTCCAGTATAAGTGAGCTTAATCTAGACTTCGAACCGTACACGGTAATTCCCAATGGCAGAAAAACAAATTGACATTTTCCGATTGGTTTTATTGTAAACAAAGGCCCTAACTGCATAATTGTACTGTGGTCGGTAATATTGGCGCCAAACTCGGCGAGTAAACATTTAGGTCATTGCCGCGTAATCGACGGATTGCAAATTGATTGTGCCATAAAGTTTCGACAAACAGACATTGTTTGACTGACTCGTAATTCGAAGAATAGGAAGAACGAATACATGATTTCATTCAAGTTAAAATTGCTAAATACAAATGTGGGCCATATGAAATTGCACATAATTTTCCTTTTTGTATTGATCGTCCATGTTGTCGTTATTTAATTTGAATGTGAAACTTAAATTACTACACGAAACTATTAACTTCCTGGTAAATGTCTGACATGCGATAAAAGAAGCTGAGAATCCCGCTTATGTCAGTATTTGAGACATTTTTTTTAATTACACAGTTTCATTCATATTTACTGAGGCTTAAGACTTATATAATTCGGTTGACAACTTGTTTAAATTTTTGATGAATATTGGTTATAATATTCTAAATATTAGTTAATAGATATTAAAATTATAAATATAAAAATTAGTTTCCAATATGTTCATGTATTTTATTCATTCTCATTGCTGCAAACAACTATCATCTGCTTCCAAACAAGTTCTTTTTGCGAATATGCTAAAATGTTATCGTTGATAGATATTTTTGTTGCTTTCATTACATTTGAAATAAACAAAAATCTTTCCGGTATTCAGTTATTCTCCAGAAAAATTTGAAATTTACAGCTTTTACCATCGTCCTGGTCAAATAATTTCATTGTTAACCAGTTTTTGAATGACCACAAAATACAAATCCAGTTTGCAAAATTTTTCATCCTGCAAATTAAGTTTTTTCTTGAATTATAATGGCATATTTGGCAATAAGTACCGGTTTTCAGTGCGATGCATTATTGGTTTCCGAATGCATTTAGCGGTATTGAATTGCTCATTTGGAATTCGGAAAACTTCCGAGAAGCTAAATTTAGATGTCGAATATTGAATGACAACACGACCACTCATATTTATAAAATTTTTACACAAATAATGGTTATGTAACATAAACTACAAATTCATGTAATTTTGTAATTTATGGGTGATTTTTCTAATATTGGGCCGAGCAGAGCTGTTTATTCGCATAAAAATGTAATATTTGCAAAAGATCTCAGCAAGAAATCGTGTGGAACTGGTTTTAACTAGTTATTCTCGATACAGCTTGTTGGGTTTATGCACGTAGTTCTTAATACGTTAACGGATCAATCGAGTACCCCATTAACAATTATTTGCAAGTTTGATAGTACTACATAGTCATTTTAAACAAATGTTTTCTGTTACTCCTTCTTTTTTATGATATCTTCAATGGTTTAGAATTAAGATGCCCGGAGGAATGAAAATGCATTAATAATTTTCTCGTCGGTTCAAAAGACATTTGCTATTGATACAAATTCATTAGCTGTTCAAAACCCCATTAAGCTCTGCAATTTACGTAACCCGATATCTATCTTCCTGGTACTAAATACAACATTATCACTCTTAAATTTTTTGCTAGTCAGCAAATTTGTTTGTGTATAATAAAATGAATATAGAACATATATATAATCGACTTGGAATTCTTTATTGATGTCGTTTATACAAGTCATGCACAATTTGCAGTATTCGTATATATGCACGATTTCCCAAAGGCAATTTTTTGATTTTTTGTAAAGTTTCAAATGTATTTGTTTCAATGTTCTTCTAAATCTAAATCACTGATTGAATCGTATAATTGAGCAATAATAAAATATTACGAAATGTTTAAGTATTAAGTTTTATTATTATTGTAAGCGATGCACAAAAATTCCTATTTTCTTTATTGGCAGAAAGAATTTATACACCACACAGATAGGTTTTAAATAACATGTAAGGGTATTATAGCATATTGCATCAATATCATCATATATATACAAAATATTTTAACAAACAGAAAAGGCCGCAATTTGATTTGAAAGGCCGTGATGATTCGAGTTGTTTTAGTTGAAACATAATCAGACATTAACTTTCCAAAGAAATATCGTGCCATAAACAATACTTTCTCAAGCGAAGGTGAACAGTATTTTTTGTTATTGAAGACATATTTAACAAAAACCACAGCAAAATGATCTGACTTAGTTTCTGTATAATTTGGTCGTGACTGCAAACATCTTGTATGATATATTAAGTCTTCTTCATATTGAGATTTCATGACAAGATGATGAGTATCTTGACGTTTTGTTATAAAGCAACAAGGGCGCGTGCTCAAAGTACATCAATTTACAGATGAAACAAAATTGAACAATGGGAAGTCTTATCACATCATGCCACCGTATGAACGTAATTGTTGGCATTATCTCGACCAGGAAATCTTTAATACAAAATTCACATTAAATTATCTTTCAAGTGCATCTTAATCGTGTCACATACAATTAGTCTTAAAAGGTGAAGTTTTCTTGGTGCTATTTTGCAAGTTTACATCGTTGGTTGTGTTGGAAAAACTGAAAGTCAAAATATATAATTTATGATATGCTATGAGAAATTTAAAAATAGGTACTTGTATGTATTGAGAACTAATCTGATTTCCTAATAATCCACGTCCTCGATTCCATTCCTTTCTTAGCAGACTTTTCCTCGAAGAACGATAGGCTTCTACCTGGCATTGCGGCATGATTGAATTAACTATATGTACAATAATAAATAAGCAAAAATCTCCCCAAATGGCGACATAGAAAGTGGTATTGTGTGTTCGTAACGAAGTTCTTCTTTTACTGCAGATTAATTCTTCATTTTACAACCAAACGCAATGCAACAATTGTCTGTTTCAACCTAATAGCACAAACAGCCATACGTGAGCATGAAGAAATAAACGTTTTGAATCGTCTTGTTTCAATCCTCGTTTTCCAGATGTTTGTCACGACAGTCATTATTTTGATGAAACTTATTTCGTCTAAACAGTTTTATTATGCTTGCTGAATATTTTGTTCGTGTTTTGAAATCCCCTGTTTCGGATAAAGTAGAAATGTTTCGATCTTTATCTGTCCATGTCGAACACTTATATTCAATCGATAAAACGCAATAGGAACGTTTTAAATCGAGTTTGTTGATCGACTCATTCATCCTCATGTCTTGATATTGTCACGCTGGTGGTTAAGTGACGTAGGTATGAAAACGTTTCCCTAAATAATAACCGAAGCTGATTTTTATCGATTGGAGATTTCTAGAAACTTTTTGTTGACGCGTAAAAAACAAAACTGGATTAAAAATGAAAACATAAGGATTTTTGTCGTGTTGGTTCCGGGTCCTGAGACGAAATTAACTGACTTTTACTAGACTCGAAATAAAAGACTTTAATAAACCGACAATGAATTAAACTATTGAGATATGTCTCGTCGTCGTGTGATTTTCGACCTAGGTCAAAAAAAGTTGCTTGACTGTTTACATGATGGAAGTGTACCAGTGCACTCATATTACGCTGGAATGCCAATGTGTGACCTAAATTAAATAATAAGGGTTACCAATTACCATTAGTGCAATTATTTAAAAAATGAGCTAATATTATTTTGAACACAAAATACACATACATTGTAAGTACGATTCATTATGAGAGCTGGGGCTGAATTTGCAGTGTTTGGTCTGAATTTAATTTTGTTACAGTCTTAGCATTCCAATCATTCCGATTTTCCCAACAAAAGATCTTCGATTACATTATGACGTCACAGTGGTTGAAATAGTGAAAGGTGAAGTAGATTGTCTACGGTTGAACAAAGTATAATTCGTCACAAAGTATCCAATTCAGGTATATTTTTACTCGGTACTTCAATGAACTACACTTTTACGTGCAAGTGGCGTAGTGTTAGACAAAGAGGTACTTCAGCATGCACAGGTGAAAAATATCGTCTTCTATTAATAATTTCTCGACATCCAAGCAAAACGGTTTGCTGTTATCTTTGGCATATGAACTGCGAGAATTTTTTTTCATTGAAATACAAAGAAAATGAAAAGTGATTATTATATTCAATCCTAGCAAGCAGCACATTGGATTAAATACCTAATAAAATAACCTTGCAAAACAATTTATAGAAACAGAAAGTCTCAAAGTTGAAGGATGAATCTGGGAATACCACGGCAGAAACAAAACTGGATTGGCGACGTGGATATACAACATTATAGATTGCATATTGTTTTCCCATATTGCGAGAATTCCAATGACCCATTTGTTCACTGGCTACAATAAAAAATTGTTTCAGCTTTTTATTTAAAGTTTACCTGTTTGGGAATCGTACATTTTCCATATTTAGAGTTCGAGTAGGCTTTTTTCAAATTCTAAATTTTAGTTATTACAATCGTTTGTCATCAAACTAATATATATTGATTTCAAACGATCAAATTGGTAAGGCTAAAGGAATTTGAGTTCAATGAAAATTGCTCAATAACAATGCAAAGCAGACTAATAAATATTAGAAATAAAATTCCCGTTAAATTTGTCCCGTGGGAGAACGTGGTATGATGAAACTCTGAAATAAGCTCTGTATATTTTCCAGGTGGCGAACTTTCCATTTTTTGATAAATAGTGAAAGACAAAATGCGTTTGTCGATACTCTATATCGTTTTCTGAAAATATTTCAAGGCTCTGTCATAGGGCTCTTGAGAATACTTCGACAGGGATTTGATTATATGCAGCCACGTGCATAATATTTTACATTCTTGTGTAGCGTCACGTATATCTGTGACTGATGAACATGGAATTTTATTATACTGTTCCGGTGACCATTTCTTCTATCTGACTCTCTTACGAGATAGGTGTCAAATAATACATTTTTTATCAAAAATGAGGTTATTTTAAAACACGGTGGTACAAGGTTGCGAGGTTGAAGGCCCGCAAAAACTTTTGAGCGCGAGTTTCATTACTTTGAATATATTAAAAAATGAGAGTTTACCGTTCTGATCAGCCTATTGTTATGTTGCATGGATGACGTTTTTTGTTTTGATAAAGATATATATAATCCTCATTTTTTTTAAATTGCTTCCGAGAAGGACCGTGGTATTTTCGTGTCTTTTCTAGTGTTTGGTTTTGTTATATGTTCAAATGTATATAAATGATATATTTTTTTATTATATATTTTTGCTATAGCTTTAAATTATATTTTTTCGTGACAGCTATTACTTGAAAGCACACCGGACACTTTGGTTTACCGTTGTCGTGGCAAGGAAATCTGTTTCCTCCCAATTTCCCTATGTCATCTTTCTTTTAAGACTCATTTTATGATTTAAATTTGACTAATTTTATAACTTGCAGCGCGAGCCTTGTGCTATCGTCAAAGAACAACCAATATCGCCCAAGTTCGGATTTCGGGACCTAGCTAAACGAGGTCAGTTTTGCGTTTTGCCGCTGCTCTCATACGGCCCACGCTTAAAAATAAATGAGCGATTTACAAAAATAAAGGCACAAAACGGCTCTCCAAATCAGGAGTTGGTTGACGCAATCTTATGGTGCATGGTGGAGATGAAGGACTCGACTTATCTCATCGGCAGAGTGCTGTCTGCACAAGACAATTGATGCTCCTGGTACCGATCACAAGACGTCATTCTCATATCGGCACCTTCTTGACGTTTATAGATATCACATCGAGATTCCGTGATTTTAACAAACATCATTCCCGACATCGGGATTAGGAAAAAGGTTAAACCTCCGGATCCCATCCAAGTTTGAATATCTAAAAAAAACTCAAAATGTATTCCCAATAAATACAAATAGTTGCCAATGGTTTAGTATACTAATATATACGTATATATACGCCAAATATAAAAATGTTCTGCGGTCCGCACGGAATGTGTCCGGTGCCAGGGTTTGGAACACTCTGTGTTATATAATGAAAAGTACATTGGCAAGTGTATCAAATTCTGTCTTATGCCATTACTTATAAAACCACGAAAAATGGACTAATGCGATTCAAGCAACGAAAGCGAGTCAATCTTCAAGACCATGCTTGAAAATCAGTCCGAGTGAAAAAAGGAAGTGTCTGAGCAACTGCTTAAATTTCGCAATCCAATCGCAGTTCAATCAGGTGTACCGGGTGAAAAATTAAAAGTATTCATATTTGTATCTCATCGTATTTTGAATGTTCGAATCAACGTGAATTTCTCCTATAACGTTCACAAACACTCAATTTATTTTGGCAAACAGTAGCGATTATGACCAGCACGTCACGACCGAAAAAAGTACCCGCTCACTCAAGACGTTCTGAAGGCAATTCTCTAGCGGTTGTTTTGAGCTTTCTAACCTGACGCGATGAAGGCGGGCAAGTTATTTTTATCATTCCTGCATTATACAAAATCTGTTTTTTCTACTGCACCAAGTAAGCGTATTGTAGCATTCCGCACCAACGATTTTGTTTTCTTCCGACCCAAATGCTATCATTTGTGGGTCAGTTTCTTTGCATACATGAAACGGTTCATAAAGATATTTTACTACGAGCATGGGTTGGGTTGGAATATTAATTTTCCACGAAATACTTTTAGTTGTTACAAAACGTTTGTTTGCGATATCAATAGTGAAGTAAAACATAGCAATTACATGAATGCCTGTTCAATTGCGTTGCTTTTATGTCATCTATATTTGGTAAACGAATTTAGCTAATCGAGCCATAAATGAATACATTTACACAAGTTTTCAAATGTTGAGTTACCATGCACTGCCATTGAATAACACGAATATTCATTGTAGTAACTTACAATGATTGCCACACACAAGATATGATCGCGACATTTTATAAATTGCGGCTACATGCGCACTTAAAATTTTTGACGCAAATCCATCTTGAGAGTTTGTAGATTTTCTGTTATTATCGTAATAAACTGGGTGAATTTCGGTCGCAAATCAGGTCTTCCATCATGTCACAAACACGAAAATTGCTACATTAATGCGGGTAGCTGGTAATCTGGATTTTTGATATTGTGATTGGTGGGTTACAGCAGATGAGTAGTTAGTCCTGTGACGATGTGGTTAAGTGAAAATGTTTCTGATATTGAATGAGTGACATGCATTGAACCTTAGTTTCGTCGTCATTTTTCATATTTAGTTTAATCGTGGGTGAAATATAATATTACAGTCTAAATAGTAGCTAATACTGCAAGAGGTTTCATTTAATTATATGTTTTTAAACCAAAGCAGGAACACGACTTGACTTACAACCGGTATATTCATTTAAAAAATGTGCTCAAAGCAATGTCCTTATCCTTCGAAAAAGTGAAAAAAAACTGATGCTAAGAGGAGAATATTAACAGTCTCTGGTACGAATCTTATGAGCGGGTGAGAAGAATTTCCATAACACGGTTTTTGGAAAAAAAATGTGGCGAAGGATTTTCGTGGACAGGATAAGCTTTATAGTTCATGGATGGAAACTAGTGACTAATCTGGTAGAACGTCTAAAGATCTTGTTCAAGGAAACAAAAACGCAAAAGATAATCTGCTTTCTCAAAACATCTAATTATCAAAGCTGGTCGCAATTTATTTTATGACATATCTTTTGAGATCGTGATACGGAGCACTGGAGAGATTCCCACTGTTTCTCTTAAAATATTTTCATGGTTAAGCCATATGACGAGATTGCAAATAAGATTTATACGGAAAGTCATTTAATGAATGTTAAGATCAATACAATTGAAAAAATTGAAACCCGATAAACTTTAGACTTAATTCAGTGCTAGTATTCTAGTGCTAGACATGAAACCGGCGTTAATTTACCGATCGAGAAAAAAATGTTTTTGATGGTGAACATTTTGGTACATACATCACGCGATTGAATTTTTTGTAAGAATCAACCATGACAAGCTCCATCAAAAATTTTCACCGTGAACTTCGAGGTACGGGAAAATTCTTTCGGTTAGTAAGATAAACAAAGTTGGCAGTAATACTGTACATTTGGGCTGTATGCAGCACAAGTAATACGCAAGCTGTCGTCATAGGCGGTTGGGAATGTATATTTCAGTCTCTATTTGTATATGAAATTTAAAATTGTCAAATCGAAAGCCGAAATATTTTGACAAAATAAGCGACAGCTGCAGTGAAAACACTCTTAGTGTCGCGGCAACATTATTATTTAGGGGCAGAAGCAGTTTATTAATAAATTAATACTGCGCAGTAAATACTTTTTGTGTTTCTTGAATGTCTGAAATTATGTCCATATGCCTTTTGCAGTTGAGTAACGCATTTTTAACCTGAATGTATCATTGGTACAAATGAACATTTTTGTTCAATTTGGCCGCTTCATTCATCATAATTACTGCATGAAGTAAATATAAGTTATGGTAATTTGATATGAAAGTAAATATCATGTTGCCAAAAATAGAACAATCTTCAAAAATTGAAGAGACTATTCCCTTAAAGTCTTTATGTTGATGATTAGCATCTGGGAAATTACATATTGCAGGACCAGCCCATTAGTATCATTTTAAAAAGAATAACACAGACAGGGCTTTCGAATTAATTCCGTTTGGGATTTTGTTTTACACGCCTCGCCGGATAGTTTTTTTCCTCAATGATATTTTAATTCAATTTAATGGCTTTGTGTGAAATATTTACGAACTTCATGAAATCTGCAATCATCGATCAGGTTCGGTGACAATGTATATTTTGAACTCGCGATTTCTTGTGTGACTCGTATATTTTCAAGGTCTTAAAGATTTCGTGTTTATATTGACCAGTGAAATGGTACGTCATTGAACCTATGCAACACCATGACATGAAAGCTATGACCGCAGTTTTCCGATGAGGTTATGAAATCATCTTCGGCAACAAAAGCTTTTGGTAACCGTTGGCGTTGATTCATCATTGGTAAACATATGCTATACTATATGTTTTCGTCACGGTTGTTGCGGAAGATCGAGGAGAAATGTTCTAATGCTTAGTATTACATTTCTATTTGCCAAGGTTGGGATATATGCCAGCATGCACTTCCAGAACAGCATGGATCACCCATATTTTCGTACAAATAGAGTTTAATTGATTTTCGGTGTTGATAAAAAATATCGATATAATAGATTTTGAGGCGATATCATGGTGAATAGTTTTGAGAAAGTTGTTATCATATCATATTCATATTCTTTTTCGTCACAAGTTTTAGCCACGAGAAAAACAGTGACGTTGATACAAAATGTGCAGTTTGGTACGTGAACAAAATTTAAATAAACAAACAAATTAAACAAAACAGTTTATCACTGTTTAAGTTCACTTTTTGAGTCCGGTGCTCGTATTACACAAATAATATTACTTGATTTTTTGTCTCGACGGTTATTCTTGTTTTATAACGTTTTCAGAAAAACGATATGACATCTAATAATAAATAGTGATTTTTAGCGCCTCGCTGAGCCCTTTTTTGTTCAAAATTAACTACAAACGCTTTATTAAAACTATTGATCTCAATCCTCAATCGATCGTTTTACCTGGTAGATGACTTCTTCGAAAACAAACTATGATTAGTACCATCTATTGTAAATCCCTGTTAAACTGCTTATTTTTTCAAATATTTTTGCACTTATTACCTCACCCGACAAAGATCAATTGTTCACTGGACCCAGTGTTCACCCATGTCCGTTTCGGGGGCTTATCCTATAATCCAATCAAACACAGATTATATCCGGTGATTTTGTTCATCACTTTGTAGTGATGTTTGTAAATCCGCACGTCATATTTATCGCAACTGTAAATGAAGCATTTAATTCAACTGTATTGCAATAGGGCGTGACCTTTCATTTCCTGGTCACAACTCACAGACAATGTAGGTTGTTGCCACTTACCACTGTGGTGTCTCAACACTGTTTAAGGAATCATCAGATTTGTCAGTATTGACGTCATTCTAATAATACACATCACGTCTATATATGATTGAAATGTCATAAGAGAAAATAAATTGGGATGAATATTATAAATATAAATGAGATAAATAAACTACGATGAACCAATTACATGAAGATAAGATTTCAAAGCTGAGGACTAGGTAAATCATTTTTACTTGCCCTACTAAAATTCTTCGAACTGGATTTAGCATATTCCATGCTTTTTGTACTGTCTTAGTTTATTAGGTTTATTCTTCAACAATGACAAGAGATGTAGATTTTATGCACAAATCATTTGTGATGGATGCTTATTTGTGATTTAAGTTTTGCTGTCGTAATTGTCGTACCAATTGCTTTTAGTCGCTATGGTTTTGATCCACATCCGCCTTTAATTTCCCGTAGATGTATGACCCTTGCAGCGTAATTTGTGTAATTATTTTGGCAATACAAGTTTACTATATCTATCCTTTTCAGGATGTTGTTAATTGCGAGACACCTGTACTGCAGTTGTGTGGTCGGTTGCATTAAAAACCACCAGAAAACCGATGCATTTAGGTAATAATCCAACCGTTCTGAATGTTTCCGAAATAAACATTGGTATATATTGCAAAAAACACTTAATCGTTTATCGGGCAAAAGGTGTTGATGTCGTGACGCAAGTTGCACTATTCAACCAGTGGATAAGTTCTGAAAACAAGACGGTCTTTAGGTTACTCGATTTGGTTTGAAGCTGAAATCTTCAATTTTCCATTCTGTTAGTTTGCACTGTGTTAAAATGGAATTACTAAAACGTGGTATTGTCGTAGTCGATGCGTTTTCAGAACACTCATATATTCCAAATCACTTCGACCATCACCATCCGGTTGAACCCAGAATTACTGAAAGTTACTTAATATGAATCATGCCGACATAGAAGTTTGCAAATTTAACTGGGAATTGAATTGCTTTGTACAAGTTTCAATATTTCGTGTCTCCTCTGTAGTTCAGTTGAAAACGAGTGGTATTGTAATATTCCTACCTGCTCAGATATGCCATCTGTCGGACGCTTCGAATATAGTGTCACTCCGAAGTTTCGCAGATGCAATAGGAAAACTATGTTTTTTTCACGTTCATTTTCTATGTACGCGTTTTTTAATATTGCGAATATGACAAGACTTTGTGAGAGCATGACTGCATACGCTAGCATCTGAATGAAAGTGAAACAATCACAGGCAGTAGGGGGACATTTGCCAGTGACCCCCGGACGCATCAGTTACTACATAAAATGAAGTACTTACGTACATACAAGTATTGTACCACTACCAACACCGAGCAGAGAGAAAAAGGGTTAATACTCGCAGTAAGGGGAATTGAACTGAAAAGGTACTCTATTTCTATTTTGTGACAGGTTTGCAGGTTGGCCCGAACCAGATATATTGATCTTTTTATAAACTAGATAGTTTATATATATATATATATATATCGAGCAGTAACTCTTCCGCGGTCAAAAGGTCGTACACGATTTCATGTATATTCTACATCGGCGTTGCTCTAACATTCATTCGTTTGGACCCCAACTGTTTACATAAAAAAGTCGATAGACCAGGGGTGGGCAAGGTTTTTTTAACCAGGGGCCAAAAAGTTTGCCCAGCTAGTCTGGCGGGCCGTGTAAGTGTGACTTAAAAAGTAACATTTTATGAACAATATTGACAGTGTTACAAGGCAAACGTGAAAAACAATATGCCTCGTGCAAAACTAAATTCAACCGCAATTTTAAACAAATTTCTGGAGCTATTTTGAACTAAAACATCAAAATTTGATTTTAGTATGGTTGTGGCAGCATCAGGTGGGACAGATTGAATTACCCAACGGGCCGGATTTGTCCCGCGGGCCGTACTTTGCCCATGTCTGCTATAAATGGTCCTTTTCGCTCGTAGCTCGTGAAGCGAATTGATCCGTAGCATGGCCCTAACTATACCCCTGTTGAATACCTAAAAGTACTCGTCCTGGCATTATGTAAGGTTTGCAATTCAAATCCATATCGTATTTCATATTCATTTAATAAAAAAAGGATTACCCATGTTTCACAAAATCCTGGAAATACAAATATTATCATACGTAAATTAAACGCTCTATGTCAATCTTACATGATTACAAATATGTATCCGAGAACATATCATATTGGCGGATGAACCAATTTTCTGCTGGGTCTGCTGAGGTCAAGTTCGAACAACGTAAGTTTGGCCGAAACAGTTAGAGAAAAATGAAGAACACAAACCTTTATACAAATATTGGTGGTTTCTCAATATCAAATTTGACAATTCCATGTGATCTAATTCCATCAATATCTAAAACTCCTTGTGCAGTACAAATTTTCATTGCCTGCATTTGCACGATAAATAAATGAGTGGAGAGTTCGTTTGATCATTACGTTATGGTTATTCATAATATAATGATAGTTGTACTCTATCTACCTCACCACGAACACCTGGAATCTTGACATACGATACCCAAACGAGTTTTGATACATTATTTACGTTATTGTTCAATTAACCATGCTTAGGTTGTGAGGGAGATCGGGTTAAAACGGAAAGTGTTGGATACGCTTGTTGATAATAGCAGACAACAATTCATCACCCAAACGCAATTTTATAAAAGTATGTTCTGAAACTGATCTGCATTTTCTCGTGTCACGCATTTTGGGCTTGTATTTGGCGAGTAGGTTTTGTTGAGTAACGCTCAATTACCACTTCCTTTCGATTGAAGCAATTCTCGTGTCATAAATTTGTTTTATTTTCTGACCGAATCACGAAATGCATCCTGTTTAAAAGCCCACAGCAATTGATCCGTTAGATCTACAAGTACTGTTTACATAGGAATGATCACAATATGAAAATATCGCAAACACAACACAAAACATTTGTCAAATATGCTACTTGAATAAAATAAAATCGTTTTTGCTAACTGCAATTTGTTCAGATGGCCTTAACGAGGTACGGAATAAGAAATAAATATTCCGATTACAGTAAAGAAATGACAATTTTCTGATAAAATCTATTACTTCAAACCACGTAAAACGGCATTAACTTATGACGCGACTACTGCAACAAAAATATACCAATAAACATGCATTTTAAAGTACATAGTTGCAATTGAACAATTTGACAAACAAAGGGCAAGATATGAATAGGAATAAATATATTTTACCAGGAAAATACACACTTTTAAAACTCACTGAACATGGGAAGTTTTACTATTTCATTTGAAAAACGTTGTTTATGACGAATTGGGGTTTAAACATCTGATATCCCCTTTCCAAAAATAGTGCTTGCTGTAAGAATGACAAGGCACTCGAGAATAGAAAGGTCTTCGTAACTGCTTCTGCGCAAGTGAGTATTACTTACTTTGCAGATATGCAGCAATGTTAACATAACCTCATTTATAATGACCTCATTACTATAGTGGCGATGTTGGCATAAATACCATTTTCACTTCTTAATTCAGAGACTCTAATAACACAATAAATAAAATAAAAGAAAAACTTTTTCCGCATTTGTATGAAGTTTTGAACTTTTGTTACCGTTTGAGGTTTTGTGCCAAATAACTTGACATCATTGTTCATTCAACAGCAGATCTGTTGCCCACCCATTTGGGATAGCTAAAGCGTTGCTCTAGTGGACATCTCAAACAATTGACACAATGGCGTTGAATGTCGAATCTTTTTATGAGTTCTCCAGTACATCAAATATGCCTGTAGGTCACGTGTCACGATAGGTGTCACCAATGAGTTGGCCCTGTACAGAGTTACCGGCGAATTCATTACTATCGCAAAATTTTCCACATTCGCAGTTTTGAATCACCATTAATTTGCGTTTCATAGTGTAACTAGTTGCGGGACTGTCTGGTTCTGAAGACGTAGTGTCACATCGGAATTCAATTTCCGCGGTTTTTGTTGCGCTTGGTCTGCAGCATTTGTCAGAGTGTCGACACGTTCCACAGTATCGAGGTTTGAAGGATTTCACTGTAAGACATCCACTCAATGAATACCGAACACGCTTGGCGCGTCTCATGTTGCGTCGACAGGAGCGTTTCGACTGAAAATAAATGAATAACTTGAAATGTTTCCAGTTACAAGATATCGTGCTGTGGCATAAATATAACCACAATGAAGACAACATGAAATATAAAAATTACAAAAACGCACATTACTTTTCTTACAAGCGTGCTAAACCCACAAGCGATAGCAGCAATTCCCAGACATACCTTTCTCGGTGGAATGATTTCTGTGCAAGGTCTGACAATGCACAGTCGTGTTTCTTTTGTCATTTTGCAGTCTTCATTATCATTTGTCACTCGTTCGCTAACTCCAAAACCACAAGATTTTGAACATGCAGACCATTCAATTGTTTGCAGAAGACATGAACCGCGGAAAGACAATGCAGATTCTTTTCCTCTGGCTGAAATAGAAGTCAATTCTTCACTAAAGTTTATTTTTTGGAATTGAAAATGATATAAAATAGTAATTATCATAGTGTGGGAAGAAGACGAAATAAAAATGCAAATACGATTAACTTGTACAAGAGGGGGAAAATTTAAAAGGGGAAGAAAGTACAGTTTTTCAAGTTGTCTTCGATTTCTTATTATTCAATGTCATTTCCTATAACTTTTTTTGCCATTTTGTTTTTAATGACATAATGACGTATAGCAACGTCGATCTTTTCCCAAACAAAAAAATAAATTAAATTATCTCTGAATATTGTTGGGATTTATGTATATATATATACATACCTACAACTAAATAAAACCCCTAAAGCTTCTTTTAATTGCGCAGCATATTTGTAGAAGAGTAAATCAATTTCCCATTCCGATCTCTACGTCATTGCAATTATTTAACTGAGGCAAATCTGTACTTCCGGTTTCAAATTTCAGTACGGAAGTCGGTTAACGAGTGATGATATGTAAAGTTACTCGTTGTGTAAACGTGGTGTTTTCTACTTTAATTGAGCATTCGCGAAACATTTATCACACACATGATACTGGCCAAATATATCTTTAACCTGTATCAGCTGTCTCAAACTATCTTTATGCAGTTGCATTCGCATATTTGGTTGCGTGTTGTGGTGAAATTACACACCAGTGCATCTCCCACGTAGAGGTGAAAGGGAGAGCAATATAAACTCAACTATCAGGTGATGCGTGTGTACTCACTAGTATAGTAGGAGAAAAGTTTCTTTGTCGCATAGAAGGCGTAAACGTATACAGAACATTTGAACAAATACCTTAAATCGAATTATTCACATCACAATGCAAAAGGATAGTTGAAATACGGAATAAGTTGAAAATTGTACAAAGAATATTCAAAATTCGCGAAAAATATTTTCCCATTCATGAAACTTCCGTAAAATTCATTGAAATACGGAACCAAAAATAATCAGTTTTCTAGATTGTCGAAAGATATGCCTGTGTAACAAATATCATAGAGAAATTGCAATTCGAAACCGACGTAACAAGACTAAAGCTAATTGATTCATAGTTAGCTCATTTATTTGGAATATTATTCCAGGAAACCAACCTTAAACATAGATAATGATATGAATTGAAAAATTGCCAGAGATTTCATACAGCTGACAGTCGTGAAACGCTTGCTACACATTTTGTATCATGAATTTAGAAAACTCGGGATTCATACGTCAAAAGTCGTCTGGAAGTGCTTTGAGCAATAGTTACCACCCGCCAAACTTTAATCTATGCCGAAAGCATTATTTTCTGTTTATATCTTGTTACAAAGAATCTACAGAACGTTTAACACAACATAATCTTGAACCGGGAATATTTTTGAAGTAATAATTAAATTTTCTGACCGCAATTTAAAGTTTAAACAAGCCGAAATCTGTTAAGTTAATTCGAAGTAGGTGGTACAACGCTGTAGGTGAAAGTAACGTGGGTTCAACTGCAGTCATGTTATCTGTTGTTCGCTTCCGAATTCTCTGATAACGTCTAGTTATCTTAAACTCGTGGATTACACTTACTGTACAATACACCACCAATTTTTATTAATATTAATTTTATTATTTATTTCTTTAAGTTTTATTATTTGATGATTTTAATAATATCAACAATTTGAAAACTTTAAAAATTGATCAGCAACTGGTGCAATTGACTTTACGACCTAAGTCTTTTCTCAAAACTTGAAACAAAGCAAGAAAACGCAAGTAGACCTTCACGCGAAGTTAGCAAACAAACTAAATGACCACAAAACAACTCAATAGGCTTTATCGCGATGGTTTATAACAACGTTCTGGTTTCCAGTTTTCTAAATATTTTTCGAATAATAATAACAATTTTGTTCTGAGTACCCTTTAAGTGCTAAAATACATAGAGCATGCCGTTTGGTGGTTTTGTTAAACTAACCATTAAACGCTCAATTTTGCCAAGTTTGGGTAATGGTATGATTGGAATGTGGAAACTTCTGGAATCTGAATAAATTGTAATTGTTATGATGTTTTCTTTGTCTGAAAATTAATTAGTGTTTTACAATTTTCGATTTATGCCTGTAAATGGTCACAAACTGTGTTTTGCTCATTTCGTCAAATTTATGCAAATTGATGTTTATATGGTAGATTCAGTTTATATTTCATGACCAAGATAATATATTTTGTTGTAAGTAAACATATTTTATAGAGTTTAATACCTAATCAGCTGGGACTAAATTTTAATTACCAATCTCACTTACCGTATTCACTTGGTCTTCCATTGCATCTCCACTGGCCACAGCAGTTGCTAGTTGAACGAACCAGCCTGAATAAAAATGATAGTTGTTCAATTGGTTTGCCGGGTTACATAATACAAATTTCTATAATATATGTCGCATACGTATACATATATGTCATTAGATGTAAAAACGAGACACAAGTTCATGAAATATTTTAGAATGAGTTTATATATATATGGAAGATGATTTCAGAATTTTAAATTACATCAGCGTTACATCATTGTGCTGACGTAACTATATTTGAAAGCAGAGGATCCGTAAAACATTAGTATACTTGTAAGTTTATAAATGAAATTACATTAGGTATATTTGTGCTTAGCATTTAACAAGAAAGATTTTCATTGTTTAATGAGACGTTTATATTATAAGCATTTGTCTTTATTTAAAATCAAATCACGTACGGGCAATAAATAGCTATATTTGTCTAAATATTTATTACATAAAAGATAGGAAGACAAATAATCGACTAGATATAAAATTGCTTCTTATCTTTGTTTCAAGTTGATAATAGTGTAAACTTCAATAATAATAATTTAACTCTGTTTGTGTTCTATTACCAACAGCTTAGTTGATCCCAGCCAAACGTAATGGTTAAAAATAGAAATTTTGTAATACTATATTGTTGTAAATTTTCGTGAACTTATATCGTGCCATATCTAGACTTTTTGCACGACTGAATAAAGATTTTATTGCAAACGAAAATAAGATAAAGAATAGAAAATTATTGACCAAGAAATAGTTTGATATGAACTACATAAACTACCCATAAGATTTTTATCAAGTTTATCATGATTTTAAAGATTTTTTTCATTATTGAAGAAATGTTTATTTTCTTAATCCGGTATACTCAGGTAGTTTTCTCTGAAAAATACAATGCGGTTTTGTTAGATATCGATATCGTGCGGAAATTCAACGTCAATACTTCATCTGATTTCTCGAATTGTATAGAAAGCAGAAAATCCAAAAATAAATATATCCTTGTCTCATATCTGTTAAAACAACTGAACTTTCTAGCAAATCGAAATCTACGTATTTAGGTAAAAATTAAGGTAAAATTTAGTTTTGGGTTTAAATCCTTAGGTTACTTAAGATAATAAAAAGTATAAAATATATCAGTTTAGTTGCTCCCAAATTTAAAACGAATAATACACAACGATCAGTTTAGAAGTGAGCCTGAGTTGATATATGAAGTTTAGAATGAGTTCAATTTTGGGGGTAAAACGCTCATTCCGTGCGGGGGCTTTTAATAAATATTTTGGTCACAGTCAATTAATGGAGTGCGTTCTATTTACACTTGACATCCAAGTCTAATCCCCGATCAGTGAGCGAGAACTTATTTTCAAACATTTAGCAGTAATGAGTTTCACCGGTTATATTACGTCATTGGAAAAGAACTTTTGAAATTCGATAAAGTCGCGACCTCGGTGTCGGCCCTACCGATTAAGGCATTATATCCAGGTGGCCAGTAGGTTCATTTTACGTTAGGGACCAGTGGAAGTTAAAAATTGAAGACACCAGACTAATGGTTTGTAAGCTTTGGAAAGAATGTAAACGTACGGACGGGCTTTACTCGTCAGGGTAATTCGAATTTTTTTTGTAAGAATGACGGCGCCACTTAACTTTCGGTAGTGACATGGTTTGACCCGAGAGTAAATCAGGTCATCAACACTGTTACTGTCAATACACGATACGCAGCATTTTTGTTTAGATAAATGCTTTTAAGCTTGGTGCCCTTGATACATATAATGAATAAACAAACATACTTTGGATAAGCGCATCCTGGTGGAGGCGGCTTACATTTTGGCATGCATCCGATGTCTCCGTTAATGCAGGAACAGGTGATTCGACAAGACGGAGAAAACAAAGCACCGTTTTCATACCATTTGTTAGCTACAAAACACGATCTACCAGGACGGGCTGTAAAACAGAGTATATTATATTGAGTATAGTGTAGTATATTAGCAGAATATAATTTTTGGAAATTAAAGACTGCAGGTAAAAAGTATGTCGAACAAAGTTAAAAAATCCCAATAGAAAGAGGAAAATTTGATAAGCGATTTAGATGCTAACCGAGTGCAAAATCTACCCCAATCAAAAGTCTCAACGACTTTTGGAATCTTTCCAAAAAAGGATTAACTCGTTGCTAATGTAGCATGAATTTGAGTGAATCCACATAAATCACGTAAAATTATGTGGATTGATCTCTGACATGTTTTATTATCATTTTAAAAACACGTCTTTTAATGCAGCTGTCAGTTTTCTCTTAAAAGTGTCGGAAAGCTATGTAAATTGCTGTTGCAGCTGTTTTTTCATACATTTGCATGTCCCTGTGTTTCCATCGCAATGTAGACCTTTATGATGATCACATACTTTTTCGCGGTCACATCTATCTCCCAGTTGACCAGCGCATATTTTGCAGCAGCCGCATCCGTCCATAACAAAACTAACGCCGGTCGGACAAGAAGCAATTGGCGGGCAAGAACACTGTCTACACAGGCCAGATTTTCTTTCCTGTTTGAAATAAAAAATAAAAAAAATCATATATAAACGACCATAAAAATACCGAATATAGTTATTTCAACAAGAGATGATTATTTTTCTGTAAAAACCTCATCATTCACCACTGATTTCATAGTATGGATAAATATCAAACACCCGTTTCTGGTTTACATTTCGTTTTATATTACATGAGATTTTCTTTCTTCTTTTCTTTCTATGCAGTTTTTGGACACGTAGATGAACAGTATTAAACGGAAGTAACATAGTAGTAACATACTAAATACCAGAAGAATTAGAGTCTATTCAACCCGCCTCACTTCGCACATTTTCAAATATGAGTTTTACAAAAAAAAATTCTCCTACTTTTCCCCAGTTATATTTTGTATTGGTATTAGTAATTAGCATGAATGAAATGAAACAGAAAACCTGTGAAAAATATTTAGAGACCTCCCAACGTGTTTATCTGGGTAAATCGGAATGCATTTTTATAAATCGTATATTTAATAATAATATCATTCTTGCACGAAAAACGTGGATTTAAAGCTTTAAGACAGTGTTAAAATGGGGTCAAATATCCGACAAACTCAAATTTAACACCACAATATTATAATAACTACTTATTCGCTTTGCGGGCAAAAAATCGGCAAAAAATGGGTTTAAAATACTGGATTTGCAAATCCTTCAAGCACAAAAATATTGGGATTTGAAGAAAGAGTAACCAAATCAATAAGTTAAAAATCAAGATTTATTTGCGTCAAGAGATTTTGAAGTACATTCATCTGATGCACAAAACGCAAACAGGAATTTTAATGATAGGCTTATAGCTACTAACCCCCAAATGTACCCCATTTCATGTTGAAATCATCATGACAAAGTTAATTTTTCCCAAAATTCGAACAAAGACTTCCATAGGAATCAAATTACACAGGTTTAAGAACATAACAGGTTCCATCCAGTCATTATCAAATTAAAATCTATATTCTCAAGACCTTTGGCACTGATTGAAATAATTATATCTAAGTTCCCATCCGCACGATGTACCTAATTACCCTTGTTGAGATAATAGGAATTTCTGTTTATAACAGGAATCACGAGCTCACGTTTACAGCATTTAATTGGATTTATGATCAACGTATAAATACGACTCCGATATCTTTCGATAGGGGGAGAAGACGATGTAAACCATTCTAAGCTAGTCTGGATAAATGTTTTAAGATTTGTATTCTGTGTGTTGTGGAAATTTACGAATAAAAACATATAGAGATTTTTAACGCATCTTCATTCACGTGGGCGTTGAAGCTGAAGGGTGAGCGGGTGACTTGCAAGTCAGAGACAATCTACGAAATAGCAATATACGGTAACATCACATTCATCTAACAACCCTTTATGCTATAAATGGTGACAAAGCCGACTTGAATTAACCTTCTGAAACGGAGCAGATCAACAGGGTTCAACCACAAGTACGGACAACAATCAGGACAGGCAACAATTTGACGGAATCAACCAAAAAGCTGACCAAGCGAAAGCTTTCAACAATTGCCGAGAAACCGTCTCTACAAAACGTGCAAAAATTAAATTCGACCAACTCACGAACGTCGGGAAGATTTAAATTGCCTAGAACAACGATTGAAGTACAAATTGCTGACAAGCCGAAATAATCAAAAACATTATGGACAATAATCTCAATTGAAAACAGTTGAACTATGGTAACGGACTCTGGAAACGTTAAAATCATGAATATGGACTGTATTGAACATCGATCGAAATGAACTCTTTTAGAACATGATATATGTTCGAGGTGAAAAACCTAATCAAAAACGAACTGTTGAAAACAATGAACTATATGGACTGTTTTACGGTAAATTACGCGCTCTATTCCGAAACAATAGAGATTTCGCGCATACCTAATGGATATACAGATCAGGAGCATGTTAATCTACAATTTGTTTCATGATTTGCAGGTTTTTCTCCTCATTGAGACAGATATTTTTCATTCTTCCACTATACTAAGGTAAAGTACTTCTTTTCTTCTTATATACATGGCGTTTCATTCGACTTTCAATTTTTATAAATTAATTAATGGTAACAACTTTGAATATTAATTTCAAATACCTTTCAAGAGATTTATATTATTGAATATTTGTGGTTAGCATTCCTTTTCGATTAAATAGATTTCGTTATATTAAAATGCTTTCTAAAAGTAGATTCGAGCGAGTCATACTTTTAATTATTTACAAAGCCGTCATATAGAACGGTGAAATAATAAGCTCGTTAAACAAAAATTGTATCCAAAAGCGTTATTTTTTCAAAAAAGCCCTGAGATGGCATAAACTTAAAAATGCGTTTTTTCTTCCCGACATGGGACAAATATATAGACCAACTAGGTCGCAACGCGTTTTCTCTTCCCGACATGGGACAAGCATATATTGACCAACTAGGTCGCAACGCGTTTTTTCTTCCCGACATGGGACAAGCATATATAGACCAACTAGGTCGCAACGCGTTTTTTCTTCCCGACATGGGACAAGCATATATTGACCAACTAGGTCTACAAAATCGTAACAATGCGATAATGCGAGCATTGAGTATTTTAGCGTAGCGAAATACATTAAATTGAAAATATGTTTTAACCGTCCAAACCAAAATTTTTCAAATAAAAATACGCCATCCTTCTGTAATTCTACTTTACAATCTTCACTCTTTCTATAAACTTTCTTTATTTCAATGTCTTGTCTCATTGTAGATCATATACATGTAAATATTTTTTTTGACTTATATCCTTAATTTTAGCATTGTGTATTGTATTTTTCTATATATTTTCAATTTATTAGAGGTGCCAAATCTTTAAACTTCCAGTTAGTAAGATGGGGAGATAATATAGCAACTAACCCCCAAATGTACCCCATTTCATGTTGAAATCATCATGACAAAGTTAATTTTTCCCAAAATTCGAACAAAGACTTTCGTAGGAATCAAATTACACCAGGTTTAAGAACATAACAGGTTCCATCCAGTCATTATCAAATTAAAATCTATATTCTCAAGACCTTTGGCACTGATTGAAATAATTATATCTAAGTTCCCATCCGCACGATGTACCTAATTACCCTTGTTGAGATAATAGGAATTTCTGTTTATAACAGGAATCACGAGCTCACGTTTACAGCATTTAATTGGATTTATGATCAACGTATAAATACGACTCCGATATCTTTCGATAGGGGGAGAAGACGATGTAAACCATTCTAAGCTAGTCTGGATAAATGTTATAAGATTAATATTCTGTGTATCGTGGAAATCTGAGAATAAAATCGAACAGAGTTTTCTCAATATACATGCTATAGGCTTTGTGATGTGTATCAAGAAAGCCTCTTACTAATATTGGACAAAACAAAATAAACAAAAACAAAAAGTATTTAACAAAAAACAAAATCGTAACTCGTCCAAATATATTCACAGGGCAATGACATTAGACAATTAATAAATTTCAGTCGAAATCCACTTATTTTCAAATATTTCCAAGTTTTACGTATAATTTTCAGTTTATCAAAATCAACAAATAGTAAGTTTTAAACACCCACAGAATCCTTAGTGTGGCACATTTCTCAAGCACACCACTTTTGTCATTACTTCGTTCATTCCACACACGGATGCATAGAGACGGCATTGTTTTTTTCACATATTCAACTTAACAGCATTCAGAGATAGCATACATTTATCCAATTGCCGCATGCCCATTTTAACTATATACTGTAAAATCAGCACAAAGTTCCAGCGTGGTAGGCAATCACAGTGCTCAAACGATAGATAACACTCCGAGCGCCTAGCCGTTACAGCAGCTTCGGAGTGAACCATTTAGTTGTCGCAATATGTGTTCAATCCTCATGCCCATTACCCCACTTTAAGGTATACTAATGGCAACGATAGAAGTATTCGATACTCATTCTTTCTGTTGTATTTTTTTCAATTGGGCAATATCTAAAAGCGTTAACACGTCGTGCCCTATTGTTCGCATATAAGTACTTTGTACTAGAGTCGATTTAAAAAGTCAAATGTAGCAATTAACAGATAGCGGTCGCATAACAGATTTGTTTGATTGTGGATCTCAAAGTGATATTACGACGCGCCGGAGGGGGTTGACAACAAAATTGCCATTTCTGCATTGTAGTATTTAAATTGAGAACAAATAATATAAAAGTGCAAAGTGTTATTAATAATTTTGGATGTATGATGGACAGAGGATGTTAAAGAAGGACTGGAGACGCACTAGGTCGACAAATAACCGATAATAATGAGTCAGCATATTGAAAAGGCAAAAATGCTCCATTTCACGCGACAAGCTGCGCGGGCACACATCTGAATACCAGAGAATGTTTTGACTACATCATACAAGACCAGTTATGTGTTCAAGCAACTACACGTGATCGACGTGATGACAAACGTTAACGCGAAAAAAATCACTGCATTTTCATATAGATGCAAGTGTTAACATAATATGCCAAATACCCAGCGGAATAATCAATAAGAACACATTGGTGACCTAAGAAACGTATTGTTTAGATTTGGAACGATTTCCTAATTTTTGCTAAATTTTGACATTGTGAGCAATAAACGAAATGCCGATTTATCATACCTGTCTTCAAAGAGCTGAGTTTTAGATAAAATTCATGCTTCTGAATCCCAAATTAGGTGTGAGGAGATAGATTACACTGTTCTTATCTTATAAAAAGAGCCATTCTACTTACAGCAGGATATAGATCTCGTTCTGATTCGTTTCCGATGTCTTCACTATTCATTGAATATTCTTCCGATGACGTTGTCGCTTCTTCTTCCATTCCAAACGATTTCGTGACCAGAATGAACACTAGAAAGAGTACCTCGCCTCTCATCATGATGTTTTTGTTTTCTTCGTTAGGCGAAATGTTTCTTTATACAGTTTTTGAGATTCTTTTCTGCTCAATTAAGTAGGTTTTTCGTTTTTCAGTATTTCATACAACACACCAATTGCGTAATCTATATACTGTACAATTGAATAGAACTTGATACTAGATACAATATGTGCTGTCGAATAAGTATATTACTTGTTTACCAATTAGAATCAAATTACAAAATCGTGATTTTTAGGTTTTAATATACATGAATATTGATACAATTCTAGCTTCGAAAAGAATTTTAGATAAACGGAACGAATACGATATTAAAGACGTCAAAATCTAGACATAATATAATTTAATTGTAATTATAAACATAAACACTAATAACTTTTTTGCAACTAGGGTTAATGAAGTAGACACATGCTGTAAAGACAATAACATCCATCTCCCCATAGTAATTCATCGTTCAACATCATAGGCCAGACTGTGTCTGTAATAGATCTACCCTATACATTTATGATACTCGATAATAAATAGACAATATTAGCTGTGTTTGTGTATAGCATTCTGCACGTTAAGTGGCACCTACGATCCTCTTTCATCTTATTTCACTTTACGTCATGCGCTCGCGGAGTTATGAACTCTTTTTGAAAGCATTCCTGGGCGTCAAAAGAAACGTCGTCTGCTGAATCCGATACTTTTAGCGGCCAATTCAACCCTAGGTTGTCTATTCACTATGGGGCGACGGCAACGACGCTGTTCCTTTTCATATTTATTGTAAATAAAACCTTAAACACGCATCAAGGGTAATTTCTCATACAGGAATGTGATGATTTTCAGTCAACAAAGAACTAGATTAATCAGAAATACTTTCAATTGTGCGTGGTGTAGGTGTGGTCACGTGTCATGTATTGCAATGAGCGTGCGTAAAATACCGTTTGATCATTTGTTGTGAGTCTTCTTTAAGAAGAATATTTATCATTTTTTGCGTATAAATATATAATAAATATTGTCAATATGAAAGTCTGTTTTGAGTAAATGTACAGTAATCAACTAAGTCGTTAGGATCAAAATAATTTTTATTCCAATAGAATATGAATACTAAGAAGTTTCGACATGATATTGCAATTTTTTTGACGGTGATACGAATTGGCATGTGCATTTAAACCTAATGCTGAAACTTGAAAAATTATATATTTGATGTACAATATCGAAACAATATCACAGAAAATATTGAAAATCATGAGCATTGTGCAACAAGTATAATCCGGTTGAAATAACCCATAAATTTTGTGTTTACATGTTTGTTTATTTACCAGTAAACAATCAAGCGAAGGACTCAACGCTGTCGCTCAGAGACGATAATCCAATTTTTATTGTATCAAACATCGATGTTACAAAGGTCAATTTTATAGCTCAAAGCGGTTGAACGATACATAATTCTGAGGACTAATCTGAAGAGTTATTGGTACTGTGAAAGCCCACTGTCGTGAAATTGAAGTATTATTTAGTCCATTCAAATTAAATACAAATTCTTAAATGCATACTATAAAGTTTAAACATTAATATTTACATTATCGGAAAATATTCGTGAGATGCTGACAGTTTTTATTGCACATATATCTCAGCCAGTATATCAAATTTAAATATATTTAAAATTATCACATAACTTTAATAATGTTTTAGCCAGTATGAGATATATTTGGAAGTTTTGCAATCCGATACAAAGTCGAGCATAGAAAATGATATGTAAAATATTTGAACGATCAAAGTTTTATATTCGATGCTCAGTCTGTTTTTACTGTGCTAAGCTTTTACTTATTCTCACGTATCAACCATCTATGCACTACAGCTTTCTATTTTATTTTTTCGATTTCTGGACGCTTTATACGAAAAAGCTTTGTATATTTCCATTTCTCCAAAGAAAAAGGCAAAATCACCGACTACGTGCAGCTAATAAATATTCTCGAAAAATTCAAGAAAACGAGTAGCAATGAGGCATGTCGATATCCTAACAATTGAACAATCGCAAGTCGGGATTACGTAACTAAATAATTAATCAGAATATTTTCAGACTATGATGTAAGTTTAAAGCAATTGTGGCATAAAATATAGTTTGCTTGTTGAGGAAATCATTACCTGACAAAGTCGAATATCGAACAGAATGATTATCCTAGTAGTTTCATAGCGTTGTAAAATTGGTCCTTGAATTTATAAGATACTAATATTATTAGTATTGGTGTACTAACAATTGAATACCATCCAGTGAACAAGTTCAGGACAAAAAAAACAAGCTATTTTTCAGAAAGGTGAATGCTAAAGTTGAAATTTGCTTCTAGACTTCATACTTCGACTGTTCGACCAGTTGCTAACTTCTATGATAACGTATAATCTAATAATAAAGTCTTTACTGTTCTTAAAAATAAGCCCCTGTTTTACGGTTCAAGTCTTTCAATTTTACTATTAATAGTGGGGCAGTGTGAACGATTTAACACAAAAATCTGTCACAAAACTTTGAACTATGTTGACAGGATCCATTTACAAATGCTCACTTGCAAACTTGCACGCTTGTAAATGCCCGCACGCTAACTCTGTATCCCGATTTTCGCTCATGCACTCTGTGCGGAGTTTACGCGTGCATTAATGCTCGCACCTACTTTAGAAGCCGTATTGACACTTGAGGCATACACAAGAGAAAGTTTCATAAATATGTCACGCACGAGGGAGAGAGAACTATTTAAACACATCGAATGGCAGCAACAAGCGGCGAACCGTCAAAACATCGTAAACAACTCGTACATCATGTTTTTTCGTCGTTCTCGTGTTGAACAGTATTGTATGCTTAAAAAAGCATTAATGTAAAGCATATTTTTAAATGCTCAATACTTTTTTGTCGTTAATGCAAAATTTAGAACGAACCCATACGCAAACGCTACATATGAGTTTAAAATATTAAAAAACGGCTATCTATTGCCCAAACCTAAATTAACGTGAAATCGTGTTGAAATATGACGTCATATATCCCATTATAATGTATCGTCACCTGGGCGATATAATGTTACTAGCGTCACGGCGCAAGCATGTGAGCAAACAAGGGCAAACTTCCGAGTATATCTCTGCTAGCCTAACCCCGTGCCCATTGTTTGTTCGTGGGCTATTGTCCTCTTAATGTTGAAGTGGTATGGGGCGGAATAGGGATGGGTCATACTCATATTAGACCCTTTTATACTTAATCTTCACTGTATTTAGAATTATATTACTAATGACTGCTTCACAATGATAACCGACTTCATTTCCGTTTAAGATATCAACTTAAACATTAAAAAATAATAATATTCGCGTCTGTTTATCCAGTACAATAACAACAAGCGTCGTGACACTCCCTAACTGACCCTCGACACAATGACCGATGTCCCGCATCACAAACCAAGGCTACAAAAACAGGGTTATTACCCTGTGCTATTCTGCTAAAATATTTTCCATCGTACCTGAGAAAACGCTGTACATGCTATATCTGGCGCATGAATGACGAACCGAGTAATATGTAATATAGCATCTATAATTTAATGAATGAAATTATCGAAATTTTCAAAATTTAGTTTTATGTGTACCTATATCAATGACCTAATTAATACAACTTCATAAGTTTTGAAAGAAATTCACTGTTGTTTATGATTCATCGAATATCATGCTCATGAATAAAACACGTTTTTAAAATAGCATATTTGTATTGCAATCGGTGTAATTAATATTCAATCGAGGATTTTTTTCTTCTTTATGTTTTTTATTTTTACTTTCACCAAGTACGGTTCCCAGTTTCAGTCCATTTATTTCGTTGAATTAGGTCTTGCGAATAAATAATATCAATGACGGCATAGTATGATTACAAAATCCATCTTTGTCTGAAAACTATTTATATTTAACTTTTATTTATCAAACGCCACAACAGACGCCACAGGTCATGTAAAATCTGCACCAATGTAATAAAGCTGCCGAACTTTAAGATCATAATCAGTTCTTAAATGACAATTTTTGAAGTCCGGCTCTTGATTTAACCTGATTTTGTTAAAGATATTTCAATATTGTTTATTGAATCAGAAGCTTTACCATAACGAACATGAATTTGCACAAAGAACTCTTGTGTGAAACAATAACATTGTGGGTTTCCCTTCAATTCGTGACGATGATAATGCATCTTAGATTTAACGTGAGGAATATTTGCATACGTTTTACCTCAATCATCTGCGGATTCTTTATAAAACGCGCTGTTCACGCTTGATTTAAACTTAATTTATATCTAATCAATAGACTATTCCTCAGTTGAAATATTTTTTTTAAAATAAACAAGGCGGATAAAATCTTATGCAAGCAGCAAAAGTGATACAATCTCCATAACTTATTTATTTAGCGATTCCTTCTGTGAACATTTATACAAATAAAATACAAATCACACTCTCACAATGGTATTTCAATGAAATATTTATCTGGATTTGTATGAAATTATTTTCACTAAAATATATATTCACCGAAATATAAAATACGGTCATACAAATTTATAACAAAGGTCACTATTTTATTTCAAATATTTTTGGATATGACGTATTATTCTCATTGTCGTCTAAGTAGAATAGATTTCATTGAAAATTACGTTTGTTGCTTTTTGGTTCAATTGATATCAATTTATAAGTTTAGGTTTGGTTGATTTTGTATACTAATTTTGCAAGGCATAATGAAACCGAATTATCAACATGAATATTATGTTACGTATACCCCAGATTTGATAAAACGAGTATATCTAGTTTTAATTCTTTGTCAGATTACTGAAAATAATTTAGAAAGATGACGACACATCACATTTACTGACTACGACTTGCAACTCTTGGCTAAGTTTTGTTTGTGCATGCTTATGCCTGATATTAACATATTTCAATTTACACCCACAATTTTTTTTGCTTGTTTACTGAACAGCTAACTTCCTGGATAATTTTGAATCTCAAGTTTGGTACAAAATTCTCACGGAAAGCGCTCATGGAAGTAATAATTGATCATCAGGTGTTTTGGACGCCTTCGCAATGAACGTAGTTCAAGAGAATATTCAATAGACTAGAAAACCAGAGTGCAAATGGCACCTTCTCATTTATGCTTTATTCTAATTATTTCTATATTTGCATAAACCTAGCACGTTCAAGTTGAAGAAACTTTGAAAACATTGTGGTATGTCAGTCATCAAGTGATATACCAATATCAATAGAAGTTTTTTTATAACTCGTACTTCATTTCATCTTTTTTATATTTAAGTTCGGTTCGTAAGTTACTATGATCGATGTATGCACCAGTCACATAATACCGGTATTCTACTTAGCAAGTATCAATACTTGCGTAAAATACGTGAGCCGTTGATATGCGTTCAAACAGTGAGCAAATGTGATCCTATCCTTTACCTCCAAATAAAGCTTAATACTTGAATACTATTCACTTGCGAATTAGAGTTCAAAACAACTTCCGGTCAATTCGATAAGTGGACGAAATACCAATTTAGTTTTCAAGAGGCAAAAATAACATTCCCATGTGGCGTGCGATGAAATTGGCTCATAAACTCGTACACTCCCATATTATCAGTTATACGTACATCACGAACACCACCAAATATTTTGATTACCTATTACTCTAGGAGAATTCATAATGTCTTATCAACTATGAACTAGGGTTAATTAGAATCGTGTAACTCTGTTTATATATAACCCGTGATTGATTTGGAAAACCACATTTCATTACCTGTGAGATAATTGATAAGTAAGTTTTCCACTGTTGGCATCTTCAATCATTATTGTTTAATTTTGGTCAAACATTCGGGTTGAAAATGTCAATTTTTGTGTTATCATAAATATTTTTTAAAAAATCATGTCTTTTAAAAGCTTCCAATATTTTTGCGATCTGTGATGACACCTGGCCAAATAAAAATTGTTAGTAAAATCCTAAGAAAAATTGTTGTTTTGTATTCTAAATTGGCGGTTTCTTTTTGCAGGTATCCCCAAAATAGCACGAATATCGTCGAGTAATGACGATATAAGTAGTAGTTTGCAATCACAACAGGGGTAAAATCCTGTTTTTTAAAACGTGGCTTTCATTATCTAATATCATTTGTATTTCAGTAAATGGACTAAAACATACATACATATTTATACTGTATAAACTTTGCTTCAAATCCGAGGGAGAAATGAAAAATGTTAAAAGATTATAGTTCTCAGTCTCATGAAAAGGCGAAATAAGGACGGACTATATTCAGTGCCACATCCATATTTTTTTTCTGTATCATATCTATGTCTCAAACCTTGCAAGCAGGTATTTCAAATTCCAATAAATTTTCCCTTTCCCCATTGGATTCAATTTATTCGATGTAAGGTCATGGAGGTCGAGGGTATACTTGGGAATGAACTGATAATCAATTTGGAATGTCTAAAGCCACATAGAGAAGTTTGAGACATATCAATATACAGTGTTACACATATTTTCTGAAGAATACTTTGTACTTTTCCTGCTTTATTTATTTCTGTGGGTTTATGAAGTCATCCTCGTAAAAAAGTACTAAAGCGGAAAGCGCTGCATGGTTGTACTTTACCAGCCTTTTCAGACAACAAACAGGTAAAAATAAATTGCAAAGTCATCGATCAAAAAGTAACAACATGGAATATTCATATAGTCTGAGTTTGTAATCGAGTCATGTGATAGTAATAAACCAAGGTTATTTATTGCATCCAAAGCACAAATTCAGCTTCGTTGCATATCATTAATGTAAGTCGTCGAGAATCGCTCTAAACATCATTCGTCATTTTGTGTTGACTTATTTGGTTGTTCACTAAAACTAATTTACCCCACCAACCACTTGCAATTTTGGTTACTGTTACCTCATTATAACCCATAACAAATTTTCTGCGTACATTATCTAACAACATAAGCTGAAAAATAATTAAATGTTCTGGGAAAATATGCTGCGGTAAAACGCCATCTCACAAAATAGACGAAAACTAATTTTTCTGACTAGTGAAAAGTGTTCAAATTTGTGAATCTACATCATTGATCTTGTATATTTCTAGTATAATTATAACGATAATAGAGCTTGCTAAGCTCGATTTAGTGAGTATCGTGATTGACGGGGCAACATTATGTTATCGTGCGAACGAGCAAGTTCTAATTGTTCTCTCGCTTTGATGACAAAACACAGCAATTATTTTGCGACAAACTTGGATTTTGAGATTACCAAGTTGCGATAACACGAATCAGCCTTTTTAAGATGATTTTCCTAATTTATGTCGACGAGTTAAGGTGCCTCGATCTTAACAACGAAATGACAAATGCATTTTACGTGTGGTCCATTGGGAACACGCCCATGTAACTCATACTTCAATTGCAATCAAAAGCAAAAACAACCTAATTATTTCGACGGCAAAATGCATTCTTGACCAATTTGGCGCCAAGATATTTGTGCCACTCCGAAATTTCTATTTTTTTATTGAAAGAGAGTCAAGAAATCATTTCAAGCAATTTTACATTTCTCGTTGTCGAACAAATGTGAACAGTCCAAAGTTCACTTCGAACTAAATAATGTTTAATAGAAAGTGTCAGCCTTTACTAGGAACAAGGTTTTATACAAGATATTAACACTTTTATCAGTGTTATAACGGGATTCATCAATATCCATTAATGTCTTTACTGTAAAACTCCACTATAGGCACATTTAAGAAAAGATTGAGCAATCACAAGAAGTAAATATTCAACAGTCTCTTCTGGTTGGGTCGCCTAACAGCTAGCTCTACTGAAAATTTTACACCGTTTTAACGTTACTTTCTGCTTAGTTTGCTTATTTTTGTTTTTGATTTCGGTCTAAAGATCTTTGTCCAAGCAGCTAACATCAGCATCAGCAATCAATGCCAGGTGTGAAAACAATGCCTGCAGATTAATCAGCTGTCAGAATTTTAAGCCTGCAACAACGCTATCTTCTAAATCCATGCTATAAATAAAAGATTAAATAGCAGGTACGAAACCAAGTAAAAACAATTGTTGAAAGAAAAACGAGATTTCTGACTCATATGTTGACTCGTTAGATAAATGATGAGCTATTATGGTCAATCCTGTATATGCTATGTCAAGGTGGCCCAAACCCAGGCCCGCAGCCTTATTGTTTGTGGCCCGCAGCCTCATTATCTGTGACCCGCGTCGCATTTGCTGTAGGGTAATAGAAAGATCGCATTTAGTGTTGTCTAGTCATAAAAATAACCAGAAAAATCTTTTGACACATTGTTACATCACTAATGTCATTGAATTGACTAGTGATGATGATTATAAATTTTAATGCTTGTCTAGTCTAAATCATTGACTGACTTACTATCTTTCTGGTAGGCAAAATATGCTGACAATATAGGCATCATATAGAAAACTAAAAAATCGAATGCAAAATATCTTAGCCTAGGTTGTCGTATGCATGATAACTAAATATTATTAATGTTATGGGTTATGGCCTAACATTATAAATCCTGCCGGGTGTCGGTAAGTTGTGTCGATGACAAAAAAATATAATCTAAAACGACATTTTAGAATCTTGTGAGCAATGAGCATTTTCCAAAGTTGAGAGATTTTGCTTTGGGAATCTTATCGATGTTCGAAAGAACTTACATTTTGCGGAGTCATTTTGTCTGTTATGAGGAGTTTCAAATCTTACACTAAATGTAGGTGGAGAAAGACTTTTGCAAGTTTTAGTGAGTTTTTTGGTGGTTTTTGCATGTTTTAGCTTGGTAAATGACAAATGATGATCAACGTGTTTGTACACTAAAGGTGTTTGTTTTGTATTGAGCAGTTTACCTATTCATGGCACTATTGTGGCCCCCGAACAATGCAAAAATAATTTTGGCCCGTCGAAGCGGACAACTTTGAACCACCCTGTGCTTTGTGATTCATACTTGAGAAGACTCGTTTTCACTCCTATGTGTACTGGTTTACGCTAAATGCGAAGCATCCATCTAATTATTAGTTTATGCATATAACAAGTATTTTAGTTGTACCATTAATTTAGCATTTAACTATAAAAATAAAATTTTTCCGTATGGATATGTGGGTTCGGAATAGATTGACACTCAATCAATTTCTAGAACGTTTAGAGGGATAGCGTGCGAGAAGTGACGTAACGGTCGGACGAACACCAATTTAACCGCCAAATAGGAACATGATAACCCTCTTAATTTGTTGACCCACTCACTCTCCCACCGATTAACAGATTAATCCAGGTGGTACAAGGATTTTTCTTTCTAGAAATGACATTCAATCTTAATTACGCTTTTTCGCCAGACAGTCTCCCGCACCCTGTTCTTTAAATAGTTTTTCTTTTAATTAGTTCTTAATAGGCCTTGTAATTTGGGTTATAAATGAAAACATTCAACCGCAAAGATAATTTGTCAAACGAAGCAGTGGACATAGTTCTGAAATAAATGTTCACACATTACTATATAACAAATATAAACTTCTTGTCTGACATACCCGTGAGGACGAATATGATTTATATTTTGCTAATCTTTGGTCTCTCCTAGCGATAGAAAAAACTTCAATCAACCGCGTACGCGGATTACAGTTATACTGTGGTTGCGTGCGTCGAGATCCAAATAATGGATTGTTGCCCAGAGTAAACTTTCAGAAACAGGCTTTACATTATGTTTGAAATCGTACAACTCAGTGGGTAATCTAACTTGAAACTTTGTGGGACATGGATTACTTCAATCATATATTGGGTATTAGCTATTAGGTATTCATGGTTGGATGAAAAAAAAATTGCAACAAAAGATTCGTTTTATTTTTGTCGGTTAGCTTGTTAAATCACACCACTTCAATATATAGAGGATGTATAAAATACACTTGTATGACGTAGTTCATCTCCAAAATCGTCTGTCACAAATTGAAAACTGTTGATATTTCATCCAATTTGCTCTCGAATTTAGATTGAAGTTGTTAGAATTCCGTCCTGTCGTTTATCTATCTCCCATTTGAGACATATCCATCACCCCTGAGATTAATATCATGAAGTAATTGTCATTGTGCGAGTAAATCGAATTGTCGGTTCTAAAAATATAGTTGGGAGCCTAGAATGAGGAGACGGCAAATTTTAATTATGTATTTTCAAACACTATACCATGAATAGGCCATATAATTAATCCCGTACTTCCAATGAAAATTTCGGAAACATTTTACTATTTGACGCTATAAAGCAAATACCAAATGCTCAAAAGGAATTGGATGTTGCAAGCGAGCGATTTTAATTTCAATAGTTGAAACAATTTGTTCAGTGGGATTTGATCTGTATTAATCCATAAACTTCATTAAAAAGGAAAAAACATGAGATATAATATAGAATTTTGGAATGTGATAATTTTATTGTTATTGAGTCAATACATAAACAAAACTGGCAAACTCACTCATTCCATAACACATTGGAATATAATCATCCCATTTTCCATAATGCCCGCAAGTAACCGAAGATTTAGTAGAAATTATTTGATATCCAGGATAACACATAAAATAAATTGACTCTCCGTGATTAAATGCATATTTCTTCGGGAAATATTGACCATTGAAGTAAGTTGTTGGTGCATAGCAATTTCCTGTATATAAAATTTTTTCCATGCTTAGTTGCATTTAAAAAAAAGATATATATATTTGTTGTTTTGAAAAAATAAAAATTTCGCAGTCTGTGGTACCAAGCAGACTAAATTTTGATCAAGATATTATATTTTTTTACGTACAACTTATAAATATGTATAATATTAATGGCATATTTTGATATATATATAGTTTCACTTCAGCTCAAAGTAAAAAATAAATTAAAGATAAAATAACCAAACTCACTCATGCACTTGGGTGCTTCGCGATCCCACATTCCTCCTGGCAAACACTTGGCTTCGTTGGAACGAGACATTCCTTCATATTTCATGTAAAATCCATCGTTGCATGAATAACTGATTTTCTCCCCGGGTTTGTAGTATTTTTTCATTGGAGTGTGATATCTGTATCTCATATCATCAACCATACAGTATTCTGTGAAAATAGATCAAATCAATAGAAAAGTTGTATTCGAAAAAATTGTTCAACGCAATACTGATTTTCTTTTTTTGGGGGATATATAAATTTTGTTTGACATGTGCATATAATATGCATAGCCAAAATCCAACACGAATTCGTACATCGGTACAACAACCACCACACTTGATCTCTCTAAAAGTGTACCACAACATTCATTTAATTACCTACGATTAGAGATTTTTGACGAAATTGTATTTTCACGAGTATGAACCTTACTTAGCCTGTTTTTCGTGTTTTTTGTTAAGTTTCGATGGACCAATATTATTTCAATTAATAAATTATTTCAAAAGAAAGAAAAAAATCATCACAGCATTTTTGTACTCACTTGTACATTTTTTAGGCATTACAGTAAAAGTTCCGTCAGATTTACAAATTGCATACTTTGGCATCGATCCAGACGAGTCATAATATCCATGATCACATTCATATTTTATCCAATCGCCGGGCATGTAGTACATTTTAGAATAGCATTTGTGCAAATATACAGCATGTTTAGGTGACTTACATAGTTCTGTAGAGTAAAATATCTTTATTACGTCCCCTACTCTCTACCACTGAATCGTTCAGGGTAAAGGAATATTCACAAATGACAATACCGATTCATTATATTCATTTGTTGACTAATTGTTTTGATCTGGCTTATTTCAACAATAATTTTGATGGGCTTGTTTCCAGATTTTCCCATTTTGTAAAATCTTTCATGCTTAGATAGCATTCAGAAGTAACAGCATTGTATCAAAACAAACTAACAAAATCAATCAATCAATAGTTAAATCAACTTACTTTTCGGTAATTCTACACACATCGGAATCATGTCCCATTTTCCGCCATTGCCACAAGTGCTGTACATTTGATTATAGCCTGAATATTTCTTGTAAAATCCAGATTTGCATTTCACGTAAAGTCTGTCCCCAATCATGTAATACTTCTTATCAGGTTTAAGCTTTTCGGAATTCATTATATTTGGCGACTTGCAATAAGCTGTCATGAATAGAAAAGAACGAATAAATGTATATTAAACTGAATATTACACTATTAGTCTATAATGTGTTCGATGTGTGTTTTATCAATGCTTTAGGGAAGTGTCCTTGCTTTATTTATAAACTAGTACATAGGTTCTCAAAGTGCTCCGTACGGAGCCCCAGGGCTCCGCGAGAGAAACCTAGGGGCTCCGTGAGCTATCCGATTACTTTTTAAAATAATGACTAGTTTTGTAACTGTTCAAAGAAACAATAACAGCTTTGATAAAATTTGACAACATTATAGCCTCGAAATATGGCAAAGAGGCGGAATCGAAAAATGACATTATTTATAAGCTGGAGCGCAGCCAGGATTCTCAAGAGGTGGGGATTTGAATCGGAAATTTCCGCGCAACATTCTTTGCGATTATAAAAAACGGATAACGAGATTTCTGTTGCGTAAAATATTCAATGTATGGCCGATGCGAGCATTTAAAGTGTCTCGTCGTAATAATTCAATTGTACTCATAGTTACTCAAGTTTCATTCGAGATTACTATTAGGATTACTAAAATGAAGGAATACTATTCTAAAATAACATAAAATACGTGATAAACTGCCACCTATGAATAAATTGGAGTCGTATTTTTGCGATCTTGGAATTTGTCAAACTTGATTTGTTCTTTTGCACTCGAGATTATTATTAAGCAAGATATCGCCGTTAAAAAAATCACAAGATCTGGGCAAAATACGATTGAAATTTATTTTAATGCATGCGGCTCCGTCGGTAGTTTCAGAATAAAAAAAAGGTGAATCGCGCACACAATTGACTGTGTTTCGATTTCTCAGTTACTGTACTACGAATAACCAAAGAAAACCTAACATTACACCAAATTTTGTGATTTACAATGCCTATAAAAGCGTTTTTAATCTGACGTGAGTCTGCTAAAACCAAACTTATAGTGTGATCTTTTATTTTGAAATTTAATATTTTGGAATGCCGTTTTTCAATCAAGAAATTTGAGTTGCGGATTTACCTCTTTATTATTAATTATTATTTTTAGCATTTCGTCGCCGATGACTATATATGGTAACATGTTTTTCACATTGAACTCATAATTCCCCACGAGAACAAAAAAGCAATCATCGTCGTCATTGTGGAACAATACGTGTATAAGCCGAAGAAAATTTTTGATTTAGGGAGAATAAACACTGGCGTAAAGATGTTTAACATGCCATGCTGACGAAAACTATCGGTGATTGTAACAAAATGCAATCGCGCACGTTATTAGCAGCCTTTTAGTTTTAAGTCTTCCGAAAATGTCAAAAGGGAAAAGATTCGACCCCTAGTTTATTAATATGTTTGTCAAGCGTCAAATTTACAGCTTTAGTAAGAGTATATATAATTTATCTTTGAAATTTGATTTATTTATGACTTGCATTAACCCCATTAAAAAAAGGTTTAGCCTTTAAATTAAGTTAAGTACTTTTAACTTACTCAGGAATATTTATCGGAAAGCTACAATTTTAACATTTCTTTTGGGGCTCCGCGAATAATGGTCAACCTTTTCAGGGGCTCCGCAACACCAAAAGTTTGAGAACCCCTGAACTAGTAGACATGATCATAAGACAACAGTCTTCTTCTCCAATTTTTTTCTTTGAGCTTAAACTTCTATTTGTGTTTGATTATACCCCGAAATTTTGGAAATATAAGATGCTATGTACAAAAGTTCTCTCTAGAAGTTTAGAAAATGTTTCAAATTTCCTCCTTTGCATTAGAGGCAAACTTGCATCAGTTGCACAAATTTTTCAATCACTCTTTTGGTTTTCTGCTGAAGCGCTATAGTTTATTATAGTAATATACTTTATATATATGTTTTTATATTGTGCTAAATCAAATTGCACTCTTTGGGATTTTATAGCAGATATTGGGAGATTTCTAGTACTACAGCGATAGCGAATTTACAAGATCGCAAAAATACTTATCAAAACTAATTATAAACGGGCAAATTATTTCACATTAATATGTCCGCAGATTGCGGTGGTATTTTAGAATAGTAATGCTTTTATTCTGTGTGTAAGTCGACGCAACCGCGAGTTACGTTCAACACAAATAAGTTAGTATAGAAAGTCCTTTAAAATTCTTGTAGTTGCCATGGATTGAATATTACGCAACAGAAAAAGTCATATACGGTAAAAAACTCGGCTCTATTGAACGAATGCCTAATCGCGGCGACCTGGTTCTGAAGCCGTTGCATGGGAATTTCCGATGTTTGTGCAAAACGTCCTAGCAATTTTCTAGCAATAATTGAAAAATTTATGGGTTCTATTTTTTTGGGAGTCAACCTGTATTAAAAAGTGTATCCAAACTTGCCAGAATACACGTTAATCGGGCAGACCTGTATTCACAATAGATGACTTTTCTACTTACGCTTCTTTTCATGCATGCACATAGGTGGCATTTGATCCCATTTTCCGGATGACAGGCATTTTGCTTTGCTGTATTTTTCTCCACGATACATTATTATGTGTCCTCTATCACAGTAATACATCAACGTATCACCAGGATAATATCTTTTTTTCATCGGACTATATCTTCCGTGATCGAAATCAGGTGACAAACAATAATCTAGATATTTAATAGAGATTTCATGGTAAGTTATTAAATATACATAAATAGAAATGTCATCAACACGCATTGGGGAGGGCAAATTAGCCTATACCACATAACACTTTTACGTCATTTGTGAGTAAAACATTCACGACATTCTTATTATAATCTAATTTTTGTATGTCAAAAATTGTTCAAAATGTTCGTGTAATTCCAATGTTGTTGCAAAATTAATTGTAATTGAAACTAACCCATATTTCTACGCATACACTTGGGTGGTTTTCGATCCCATTGGCCGTTTTTCAAGCAAGTTCCATAGTCCCTATGGTGATCATGGTGGTCGTTGTTGCCGTGTCCATGTTCATGGTCATCATCATCAGCATGCTGGTGACTTTCTTTGTCGTGGCTGTGGTCGTCATTAACGTGGTCATGACCATGTTTGTGGTCATCATCATCGTGGCCATGCTGGTGGCCTTTCATACCGTGGCTGTGATCGTCATCGTCGTGGTCATGTCCATGTTCATGGTCATCATCATCGTGGCCATGCTGGTGGCTTTCTTTATCGTGACTGTGGTCGTTATCATCGTGGTCATGTCCATGTTCATGATCATCATCATCATGGTCATGTTCATGGTCATCATCATCGTGGCCATGCTGGTGGCCTTTCGTACCGTGACTGTGGTCGTCATCATCGTGATCATGTCCATGTTCATGGTCATCATCATCATGGCTGTGATGGCTTTCTTTGTCGTGGCTGTGGTCGTCATCATCGTGGTCATGTCCATGGCCATGATCATCATCATCATGGTCATGTTCATGGTGATCATCATCGTGGTCATGTCCATGTTCATGGTCATCATCATCATGGTCATGTTCATGGCCATCATCATCGTGGTCATGTCCATGGTCATGATCATCATCATCATGGTCATGTTCATGGCCATCATCATCGTGGTCATGTCCATGGCCATGATCATCATCATCATGGTCATGTTCATGGCCATCATCATCGTGGTCATGTCCATGGTCATCTTCATCGTGGTCATGGTCATCGTCATCCTCTACTTTCATATAACCATCTTCGCATTTGTACCAAACACGGTCTCCTTCAGAAAACACTTTCATTTGCGGCTCATACATCCCATGTAATATCGCCTGCGGTGTACAATAATCTAAAAAATGATAAAAACACATGTAAATTAATAATACGTGTAAATTGATTTATTTTTGTGCATACGCAAAGTACAATCGCAATAGAATATGTCCTAGAACCAAAATTTCTGCTTTGCTCATGACCCTAAAAATTGTCTACGCCAATAACTGTTGTTTTCATTGAAGGATAAATAATAAACAGAATATTTTGAAACATTCGCAAAAATTAATCTTCATTGTTCATTTTTTTCATATATATACTAACATGCATTTTTGAGTAAATCTACAATGATAAATATATTATCCTATTAAATTAGTATTATTATTCAATTGATTTAATGCATTTTTGTGTACATTTGTTACATTATTTTTAGTGAAAATTATACAAATCGTACTCGTGTCTCTTCTCACACATTTTGGGATTTTCTTGTCCCATTTTCCATTCAAACACGTGACGCATTCAAACCGAGATTCATCATAGAATTGCTTTTTAAACGCTATATTACACATGATGTAAACACGATCTCCTTCTTCATACATCCTTTTAAATGGTTTGAAATATCCATTTGGATGTTCTGGAGGACTGCAATATTCTGAAAAAGAAAAACAATTCCATGCACGTGCAGTCAATTGTTGCTCCACATAGAAAAACATCGAAATCTTATGATTTTGCATATAAGAAGAAAGGGTTTAGCAAATTTCGCAGATATTTTAGCAAAAATAAACAAACATATATGAATACATATATTCTTTCAGATTTTCAGATAAAAACCCACTGATTCTCGTGTCTTTACACAACGGTGGTTTGAATTCCCAATGTCCACCGGGCTTGCACGTGCTGAATTCATACCAATCAAATTCGTAGAACAACCTATATCCCATTTTGCAACTGTATTTCACTTTGTCTCCGATGGCATATTGAGATTTCATTGGCATTTGAAATCCATTATCGATTCGCGGCGGAGAGCAGTAATCTAAAAATTTTGTTCAGTTTAGAAAATATTCCAGTGTTAGAGAAAAGTGTGAGCTGTGAACTTAACGAGTATAAATATTTTTTTTAAAACCTGGTAGCAAATTATTCTTCTTTCTTATTTTGAAATTGATAGTGAGTGGAAGCAAAGAAATATATATTTACGAATCCGTACCCTACAAACGACTTGCGGTAATTGGTGCCAATTGTAGTTCACCCTGAGAGAGACACTTACCCATTTCAGCTTTTATGCATTTTGGAGGCTCAAAATCCCAGAGTCCGTTATCTTTGCAAGTTGCAAATTCAAACCAGTCCTTTTCAAAATAAAGCATGAATCCCGTATTGCATTTATAATGTAATTTATCTTTTGGAAGGTACATTTTCATAACTGGTTTGTAAAATCCATTTTCAATCATTTGCTTCTGGCAATACACTGCACAAACAAAATGAAAGTTTCTTACTTGTTTGAATTATTAAAATTCTAGATTCAATGAACAAATGAATGCTTTAGAAAAACTGTAATCAACACTTTTATAATTACGGAGTATATTAAAATTTTTCGCGGCAAAGACAATCAGTAATGGTGCCATTTGTCACCCTGTGTGTGGCGCCATCCTAACAAGTATGTCAAAGGACATCTCACTAGTGCCCTGATAGGTTTGATACCATGTCTCAGAACTTAACTTTATTATCAGCCTAAACAAAAAGGCACGATTTTCAGAAATAACTCTAAAAATATCAGTTAACATCTATAGCATGACACAAATCAGGGTTCGAAATTACGTATCAACCTGGACAGAAGTACCTCATTAAGTTTGTTATATATCATATTTCGTATGGATACATGAGGTAAATGGATACTTTTAAATAAAGCGTTCAAGAAATATGTTGGAGCATATCGCTATGATAAATATAAATAAGCAGGCTTAACCGTAGTATCCACCAATAAGTTGATGATAACTGTACAAATTCAATAGCTCATTATATTTATGTAATCATTTTTATTGGCGAAAAATTGTTTAGGGTTGAGTGTTTTTTTACAACAGCCAAATTGATAAGAGAATAATTAGTTTATAATGTTACTTTTTTGACTGTCTGTGCACTTCAGTGGCTCTTTATCCCATTTGCCATTTTTCATGCAAGTTGAATACTCGAATCCATCGTCTTCGTAATACAAATCATATCCCTTTTTGCATTTATATCGGAGTCGATCTCCTGGTTTATACATTTTCATAGCCGGCATATACGATCCGTACATCATGCCAGGAGGGTAACAGTAGTCTAAAAAATACAATATGAACAATAACATTCTCTTCAATCATCAAATTAATAAAGATTGCACACTCAAGATAGATTATGTTCCAATACCATAGGGTAGAATTCTACCGAGGACAAACTAAGGGCATTCTTAAAATAATTGTAAGTTAGTTTCATATAGCTTTATCTTGCTTCATACATACTTTGCAATTTAGAAATACACTTCGGAGCGGTATGTTTCCATGTTCCATCAGGCTTACACTCGTCGTAGGAGAATGGTTTTTCGTCTTCGTAATGTATCATGTAATCGTTTTTGCATTTGTACTTAACCGTATCTCCGATGTCGTACATGTACTTTTGAGGCTGCATCATACCGTGAATAATTTCCTGGCCGTAGCAAAATTCTGTAGGAAAATAATAATTAAAAAATGCGTCTATGGTATCAATTCAACTTCAACAATAATCTAATAAAAGCAACACCATCAGCCCAAGTATGTCGCACTTTCACTCGCAGAAGTGAAAATTGGAGTTGACGCATCCGTTTGCTCGGAGGGCAAGTAACCTTTTGTTGGGCTGTATACATCATATCGGTATGAAGTGACAACGCGTATTGAGCAGCTTTCTTGTGAATTAGGTTTTGTTACATTCTGGGGATGAGATGACGCTTCTACTTACTTTCATCATCGCTGACCGATCTTCTACACATCGGAGGTTTGAAATCCCACTTTCCGTCATTGCGACATGTGCTGAATTCAAACCAATCTTTACCGTAAAATATCTGATAGCCAGTTGTGCACTTGAAGTATAATCTGTCCCCTTCTTCATACATTTTCATTGCAGGCATGTACATGCCATTAATGAATTCTGGAGGATTACAGTAGCCTAGAAATACAAATCATAATTTCAAATAATACGCCACAAAAAATGAAAAGGATATGGGGTGACAGAAAATATGCAAAAATTATACTTAATTAGCAAACAGAAAAAAAGATGAACAATTGAGAGGAAATGGACATAAAACAGCAGAACAAAATTAAAAATAAAGTACAGGTTGAAAGACAGCAAAACAAAAACAAAAAAGATAAGGAAAGGAACATTTTACTTTTACTCATGCTTCTGCATTTTGGTGGCTTGAAATCCCAATTTCCGTCACTTTGACAAGTAACAAACTCAAACCAGTCCTCTGGGAAATAAAGTTGGTATCCTCCATCACACTTGAAATACACTCGATCATCTTTGCTATACATTTTATTCATAGGTTCATACGATCCATGCATTATCATCGGTGCTTTGCAGAATTCTGAAATGTATATTATGCAAATAGCTTTACATTCTTTGGCTGTAAAATATCTTCTCTATTTATTACTTATCGAATTTAAGATCGGTAAGTATGTTAATAGGTATTTGTCTGTTTGTTTGTCTGTCTGTCTGTTAGAAGCACGCGATATCTCACGAAAGCGAGGTTCAATCTGCTCCAAATTTTGCCGGACCAGAAGCCTTTTGTTTTTGGATGAATTATGTCGTATAATAAGAGAGTTATTAATTAATTAGTGATGGGACACATGGTGTGGAGTAAGAGCGCTGTTTCGGGGGATCCGATACGGGAGCTTTCGATCGATAAGTCTTCGGTCTTCGACCGATATTCTCGTTATTACACTTACAAGTTAGAAACTTAATCCAGTTTTTACCAGAATATTGTTTTTTTTTGTTTGTTGCAAATTCTCAAATCAAATATTCATTTTCTCAAATACATACTGAGTGAGTGTAAATCATAGAAAGTTGTGTCAGACTAAAACTATAAATGTGAAACTTCCGTTGTGATTTGGGCACCAACAGAAACAATCAAGAACTTTAATTTATCATTTATTTCTGATATCAGGAAACTATTGTTTGTTTTTTCATTAGCCTGTAGCAAAACTAGAACATAACTACCATGTTAAGTGGCCCGCGCAATTATTAGTAAATTACATGTGGCTCTTCGGCCAAAAAGGTTGGACGACCCTGCATTAAAGCAATATGGTTTTAGACGTCCCATTGAAAAAAAACATTGCGTCAAGTTGCAGGTATTTGTATTATTCTCCATCTGCTCGCGTGTTTGATAGCTTAGGTAGGACATGCCGAAAGAAAACGTTTCCACTAATCCAATCTAATCATCATCTTTCTATGAATCAGTGGCTGCCCATTTGGCGCGTTGTTTCAATCCCATTCTGAAGTAACCGCAAATCATAAAAATCTCACTCATGTCATCCGGTCTACATTTAGGAGGATCGAAATCCCATTTTCCACCAGTCATACACGTTGCCAACTCGAACCAATCTTTTTCAAAAAATATTCCATATCCGTCGTTGCACTTAAACGATACTTTATCCATAACTTCGTAATATTTTTTAGCAGGCATGTAAGATCCGTTGCTAATTTGGAGCGGTTGACATTTTCCTATATAGTGAACATGAATTAAAGCTATGACATGTCATTAGGACATTTGATGTAACTTATATAACTGACCAATAGTTTCTTTCATACTTCCATACAACTAACTAATTTATCGTATTTAAAAACAACGGGCTCAATTTCCTTGCGGTCTGGACGTATATTCAAAATATAGTATTAACATTTTGATTCAGTTGTGAATAATTTGTATTGCCACTAAATTCTATATTTGCGAGAGTTTAACATTTTATTAAATTTTTGTCATATATTTCACCACAAAGTGTGCTTACTAATAGGATTTAAAATAAAACGCCTAGTAATTCATAATATTTTCACTCTAAATCTCGAGATATCAACTCCCAAACATGCCTCTAAATTCTCTAAACGGGAGTAATATTTTAAAATTAAAATTTTAAAACAGAATTAAACATATTAATGAGTTAAAAACTTAAAATTTTGAGAACCGAATCCAACAAATTCAATGCACTTTCGCGTTTTTCAGAATCAATACTTATCGAGCTTTCAAATTGTACTTGAAATAAGCAAGAGCGATAAAAGTTGAAAGGTAAGGAGTTAGGGGTTTGTATTTAAAATAGTTTCAGATAAAAAAAAAATTACGAAATTATGAAAAGAAATGAAAGTAATGTCATGTATTTTCAAAAACCTTTCACAATGGCGGTGAACGTACCAGAATTGTCAATTTCGCAGGTTACAGACATATGCTCCCATTCCCCAGTTTCCATGCAAAGATTTGATTCGTAAATCCACGCTCCTGAATATTTAGCCATGTATCCTTCATCGCATTTGTAGCTAACACGATCCCCAATGTTGTATTTTTCCATTTCAGGAACACTGCGACCATTTTTTATCATTGGCTTCATACAATATTCTAGTAAAAATAGGTTCAGATAATATTTTTTAATTTACACAATAACTGAGGAAAATTTTACCCAATACGAAGAATTTAAACGTAGAAAAAATTTCGTGAAAAAGAAACTGACTTTGTTCGTGACTTTGTTTTAAAGCAAACTTGTTTTGCAACGCAAAGTGCGAAAGGATTTTTGTAAATTGTACATTTAACACTTTTCAGAATTTGTTATCAAAATGATAAGAGATAACATTTATTTCAAGAAACTAGCTAAAATAAAGTCGTTGTTATCATACTTTTACACATCGGAGTCATGTGTTTCCATTTTCCATATTTATCGCACGTGTTTCCTTCGTATATCTCGGCTTTGTGTTGCATTGTGTATCCGTCTTCACATTGGTATGTTACCTTTTCCATGTATTTGTACTTTGTTTTCGTGGGTAGGGAACTTCCGTGTTTTATCATCGGAGCGTCACAATATTCTATAAATAAATTACTTCTATATGACATTAACAATCACTTTATTATTTGATTATATTCTATGTTCAGCCAACCTCGACTAGGCATTGCATTGTGAATATATATGGTTTATGACGCCCTCTACTGAATTGAATCACTTTCCAGGTTTATTGTACTGAACAAATAATCTCGATTTCTTAGTTTGCGATGTTCTTGAAGCATGAAATTTGTGAATGCAGGCCTACTAATTCGCAATGGGGGCATTTCAATTCACAAACATCGAAAAATTCAAAAATATCAATACTGTATTGCGAAACCAACTTTGAGATATTGTGTCCTCTGATCCTCAGCGGCAATCTCTAAAAACTTCTAATTTGGAAAATCAATATATATTCTGAGACTTACTCAAACAATGATAAGGTGGCATGTCCCATTTGCCGTCGGATCCACATAAAGGCATGTCATATGGTTTGTCTGATTTTTTGTGATATCCGTCCATACATTCGTACATCATCATTCTTTCACCTGGCTTGTATCGTAGCTTTGCATATGGTTTATGATAAAAGTTGGTGTGGTCAAAAATCATGCAATATCCTTTGAATGGAAATTAATTTTTTGTACAATCATATGTGCAAATGAACGAGTCAAGGGCGCTGTGATGACACTATAGATTTAGGATATAAGCTGCTTCGGCTTTCAGCTTAAGTGAAATTACGTTTGCGTTTTTTTGTATTTATATATATTCAAGTTTCATGAGAAGAAATTATATTTTTCAGACATAGTCGCAGTCATAACTTGTGATCTTCTGATATTAGCAAGGCAGACCCGGAAAGAGAGAAAAAGCAGGAAAAAGAAAAACCTGCGCATAATCCCAAAACGTACTTGCTCTAGTGAGTCTAGGCCGTAGGCCAGTGCGTTGTAGCCATCATACCAGATATTAAAATATACATATTTTTCATTCGTTTTTTTCGTTTGTTTCTTTATGATGAGAAAGTATCGCTGTCACTACCAGTATGTATACGTCGAAAATAATTGCATTTATATAATTACTCACGTTCACATTTGTATGGCTTCGTATTCCACATGCCGTTAGACATACATCGGGCTTGTCTGTATGTGTATGTCTTTGGTTTCAAGAAACCTTCCATACAATAGTAGTAAATATTTTCTCCGGGAAGGTATTTTGTTTTCCTGTAAGGACGATGATTATGCATTCGATAATCGGGTGGCATGCAATATTCTGTAAAATAATATTTTAATTTTTAAAGATAACATCTTATCGCTACTTAATGTCTGGTATTCAGCATAGCGATGTTGAACTCGTTGGGCTAACAAATGCGAATACCTTATTTGAATCGTGACTTTTATCTTGAAAATCGTGAAACTCTTATATTGACATTATAGATTTTCAAGACGTAATCCGCGCAATAAGTTATAAGATTAAACTTGTTTAAAAGATTTATAGCAATTAATTTACAACAAAGTCAAAAGGGTATAATCTTTATTCACGTTTGTATGCAAGCTACAGTTAACAAGCCCGTAGGGCAGATCATGTTATTCGACTTTTATCTTCATTTTTGACTCGAACGAAAATGTATTTCACCGATGTTTGAACTATTTTTGAACTTACTTTTACACATTGGCTTTCTCATATCCCACATCCCACTGCTTTGACATGTCGCAGTATTGCCTTTCCTACTTCCGCGTACGTAGGACATGTAATAACCTTCGTCACAGGAATACTTGATTTTAGCACCTTGTCTGTATTTGTCCATTTTAGGTTCATAACTTCCATACTCCATATCAGGCATCTTGCAATAGTCTGTAAACAGCGTAGCAAGATGGTATTAGTTTGAAACAGAGTAAAACGATGCAAGATGAAAATACCATTGTTCAGAACTGATTGCAAGTTCCTGATTCGGTCATAGATTATAAAAATCAGTTTCAAACTTTTACAAAAAAAGTTCCTACCAAAGCATCTATCGGTACTAGTTCTTCTTGCTTGCTTCCATACGCCGGTGATAGAGCATGTTGAATATACATATCTCGAATGTTGGCCAGGACATGCATAATAAACCTTTTCGCCATACTTATAATTAGGTTTGTCTGGGTAGAAATCACCACCGAAAAAAATCTTAGGATTCACACAATATCCTAGAAAAAATTTAAATCAAGTAAATATTTGGAATTCATTTAAACAATTGGCTCTTGCTAGTTTGAATAAACACATTTCGATTATGGTTAGGGTTACCATATTTTTGTGACTTCAAATCGGGACGCCCCGAAAGACAACGACCCCTTAGCTGTGATTTTATAACGTCACATTTTCCGATTTTACTACATAGGCCTACATTCCTACATTTAAAGCTGTCTCGGCGGTCTTTATCGACCATATTGTTATCGAAATTTCAAGCGCATATTCTCTGTCCAAATATCGGGTTCAGTTCGAAAAATTGGAAGGAATTGACGTTGACGATACCGGTACAAATAATTCGAATTTAGACTAATTAGTATTGGTTTTACATGCGATACGTCTGCCATCAATGGGAATAAGCGGGAAACGAACGCATTCACCTTTAGTAAGTAGGCTAGCGCTGCGCTACACAGAAACAACAGTAACGAGAACATGTTTGTGTATTACGCTGGAAAAGTGGGACTTTTGACTGACTTATCGGGACGGCGGGACAAAACGCTGAAAAGCGGGACTGTCCCACCTAAAGCGGGACGTATGGTAAGCCTAATTATGGTAGTATTATAATGAGTAATTTAGTTTATTTAAGTCCGAAATACTTACTTTGGCATTTGTATGGCCTGTTGTTCCATTTCCCATTGGACATACATGTCGAGGTCATGTATCTTGTCGATGGTACATAGTATCCGAATCTGCATTTGTATTCAATCGTTTCGCCAACATCATATCTCATTTTCGAGTACTCTTCGTGTTGATAGTCATTATGTTTTGGAGCTACGCATGTTTGCCCTAAGAAGTGAGTCAATATATAAATATTCATATATATTTCGGTGAAATTCGACTTAAATCAAAGTTATAACTTCTCTTTAAGCTCTGTGACGCATTTTAATTCGGTTCATATTGTGTTAGCATTCGTGTTCGATACATAATTTGGACCGATCCAGTTACAAACATCGTAAAAAATCTAGCACTTGCTTTCATTTTTCGAATATTTTGCCTAAACTTGAAGAATAAATGCAACCTCAACTGCAACTTCTGTTTGCATAATAAGCACTTACGTCTATATTAATAGTATTCCTAACACATGCAACAATAATTTAAACACATAGAAAAGAGCATCAAGCATAGCGCATGAAAACGACCAACCGTGTGTGTTTCAGCCTCCTAATCAGTTGATCAAAATAAGTGCCCAGCAGCTACGTGTCTATGCTCGTAGTCTATACATTTTTCAATATCAACAGCGTACTATAGAGACTAATAATTTTACTTTTACATGACCCTTGTGGAAACAAACGTCCGTTATTGTATATTGCAAACTTAAAAAATAAACCAGAGCCATCTTTTACTTTTATGACTATTCATAGCAATAGCTAGAGATGAAATACTAAACATTGAGATATGCAAGCATATTTTACTTACCCTCCTGAATACATTTTGGAGGTGACCTGCTCCAACGGCCACGAAATTGACAGACTATTCTTGCTGCCCCTGTCATCTTGTATCCCTCGTGACATTGAAAAGAAAGCACGTCACCAGGACTATATCTGCCGTTGTAAATTTTAGCTGTTGTTTGCATGTATGAGTTTTGCACATCTGGACTGCCGCAACCTGAAAATAAAACATCCATCTATGAAAAATACACCAGATAGAATGATCTTGCAAACATGTCTTTGGAAACTAGTTAAAACTCGACACTTTTCTTATCATCAGAAAGGTTGCCACAAAATCGTAATGACCGATTTTTGACTTGGTGACAAATCACCCAAACTTTATTTTATTTGAAGAATAATCATATATTACCAATGGTAATCAAAAAAACTTACAAATGCTATGCATAATTCTCATAGCGGTTAGGATGCTAAAATTGTACAATACAAATTATATTGATTTATATTTGTTATATTTTAGTTTTTTTTATCATTAATAACAAAATCTCAAATTACAACCAATGAAATATATCATAATAAATGCATATATCATAATTGTAACCTAATTTTTTGAAAAAACTCGAGCAGGTCATATTTAGCTGTGAATAAAATGTAATTCAATGCAAAATTACCTTCGATGCAAACGACTAGCGACATTGCAGCTAAAATCACAAACGCGATCGATGTGATTTCTCCCATGATCGGTGTCTTTCGTCGCCTGTCAACAGAAACAAGCACTGATGATTTCTTTCCTTGCCTTTGGCGTATTTATATGAGTTCGTTTCGCGCATTTTTTTCAAGATCGTGCCACGAGCATCTCAAATCTTGATTGTAATTAAAGTGTCAAGTTTACGATTTGCAGAACACGATATATTAAAATCGTAGTAATTTCGAAATTTATGCGAGACCATCTCTTGCACGATGTGTTATTCAACAATACTTCGTTCGTGACTAAGTATTCGGTAACATTGGGCAATGATGCAGCAAAAAACACAGGATATAATCTGGACTGTGACATTGACATTAATGTCAAATACGAAAACAAGACTCTGCCAATATGAGTTAGCTGATATCATGTGAATTTCATTTTATTCTATGTATATAATCATATACCTTACACCCGACGTGAGGTATAAAGCAAAACATCATAGCTCTGATTTTTCACATAGCGGGTAATTAAAATAATACATTTTATGACAAGAATTCTTTCAATGGATATATTTAACTATATATATATATTTGTATTCCACCTATGACAATATACACTCCCGTATTTCAAGTAATTGAACGTGAAAATGTTGAAAATACAGTCATGAATCGACCTAGAAGTATCACAAAGTTCTTCAGTGCTGGATAAAATATTTTGGAGCAGCATTGCAATGAACATCAAATCAATCTAAATATTTATATATATATATATATATATATATATATTACACTGTGTTATCAGAGCTTACTAAAAATAAAATAAACGAGAAAGGTTTAAAAATAATATAAATATTCAAATAAATTTAGAAGTACCTTTCAAGCCATCATACTGAAGGGTAAAATGAGGAGAATAGTGAAGTACAAATGATTAATCAAATACAACAGAAAAGTTCAAAAATTTTCAAAATGAAGTTGAACTGAATCATACACCAGAACGAAAATGAGGAAAACGTTATTACACAAGAACCATTTCGCATTAAACAAAGACATGCTTTACTCAATACAATATGTGCTGGGTAACATTGCGCAAATGTTTTATTCAATTTATACATTTTCTTTATCCACAAATATTGTTTTCTCATTAAAAATATTTTCGTATACGCATCGCTCTAAGACGAAATATTGAGATTTACAGGCCAAGCGATATCTTAGGACAAAATTCCGATTTGTTCAAATGAAATTTTACAATTTAATGTCTTTATGTTGCACATACGTGTCTACACGTATCTAAACGTGCACGCGATGTGTTGTGAATATATAGCAAGACAAGGGTAAGACGACATAAATGTCGACACACTTTGCATGTAATTTGAAAAAGGTGTGAAAATTTATTTATTAGCATTAAACCAACGCTGAACACTTGACGTCAGTAAAAAAAAACATAGTAATGAAGTAAAATTTCTGCCTATAGACATTTCTTACATTTCTTACAAAACTTTTATGTAAAACTTTAACAATGACAGAGCAAGAACATTCATTGGCCATGTCAAATATGCTATAGGTATATGAATAATAGTTCAACTACGTTTAGAAATGGACTTGGCTATGGTATTAGTGTAAACAAATACAATATAATACCACAAAGTCCGGAACGCATGCCAAATTCGATTGTTTCAAGCACTAGAACATTGTAATTATTTGGGATTATTAAACACGTATATCAAATGGAACTCAATGTCTGAACTTGATCACTTAATTAAAATTTACGCATTTCGTTGCAAATGGTTATCTAAATAGGCTGAGGATTCCACAATGGCATGACAACTTGTTGGTCTAGATTGGAGTGCGTAATATTTTATTCCTTCTAAAATTTAAAGATACTTAATATAGCATACTATGGTTAGTACGTTTTAACTGATTCACTGATAATAAAGCGCAAATATAAAATAGAGAGAAAATGGAATATATTCTCAGTAAATGATTGTCAAGTTTATGGTTCACGCGCAGGAAATATTGTGGCGCCTGTATTGGGATGTAAAGCGCGATGAATAATAATTTTAAGTAAATAATAATTTTAAGTAACATTTTTAAAAACAACTGATTCCCATCTGAGACAACACAAGATTTTATATAATGTTCCTGTGACGCAGATTTGGTCTTGACTGAATATTTTATTAGAAATTTATTTGAGTATTAAAATTCGATAATCTCACACTGAGATCATGGTCGAATACATCTCAACTTGACACGGCTTAGAATATATAATTACCTAAATGAGTACCACAACATATACGGGCCCTTATACCACCTTCTCCAACAAGCTGATGGCGATAAACAATAATAAAAATATTTTCAAACATTCCCTTTTCCTCCCCTCCTACCCCCAAAAGTGTCATAGCTTCCCTGACATGATAATTAAAAATAAAAAAAAAGTGGAACAACAAAGAAATGACACAGAGGTTAAACTCACAATTCGCAGAGTTTACAGAATTCACAAAGTTCGAAATTTAAGTCAATAGGGAGAATGATGATTTAGCAAAACTTGGCACTCTAACAAGCATTACACTCTACATCTTCACTCATTTAGCAAAATTACATGAAAATACCACCAATCAAAAACACCGAAAATCATATGGATAAAAGTCAATGCCCAAAATAGTCTAACACATCGTATTAGTATACTCGACTACATTTGTTGAATTTGAATCACCTATTCGGTGATCTACGTCCGATGGAATTGCGTGTCTTCATATCTGTCGATTTCTTTGAGTGTCGCGTTGAAAAGGCGATAATCATAAATCCAAGTAATAACAGCATCGGTATCAACAACATATGCTGATTTTGAATTTTTGCAAGGACAATATTAGCTCGCTGTTAAAGAAGTTTGCATTGAATAGGAAAATAAGTCTGTAACTAACTCACCTCTGACCCGCCTTGGAACGGGCCATAGGATTTAACAAGTTTCGCTTTGTCGGGGTCAGTTTTAGAAGACGATGTTTTGTCGACTTCAATTAGCTATTCTTTTTATGAAAACAATTGAACTTACTACGGTGAATTTGACCCCATTTCCACTCACTCCCTGATATATCATCTCCTGAACCAGACGTTCTACTTTCTCTGACATTGGGGGAGCGTACGCTGTGGCTGACGAATTGGCCTCGCTTCATCCTTGCCATTAGAATGTGAATTGACGATTCGTTTTGTCTAAGTCATACAGAAGGCCTCATTCGCGTTTCAGAACAAAATGGCGTCTTATATCCGCAGAACGTTTAGTGACGTCATAGCAAACAAAAACAAATCTTACAGAGCTAACAGAAATATTTGAAATAAATAAAAGTAATAGCCTTCTGGAGAAAAATTTCATCTTCAACCACTGAAAATTTCAAAGCAATTAGTCCAGTAATCAAAGAGAAAAGCGACTTTTTAAAAACGTGTCAAAGAACAAGAACAAGAACAAGAACAAGAACAAGAACAACAACAACATAATATTGAAACGATCGTTATGTCCACTACGTGTCCAATAATATATTTAAATACACGTGGAATCAATTGTACATGAGTCATTCGAATACTGTAACATACAAAGCATACGAACAGAAAATAGCAATTTATATAGTCGTCAGTTGATATGTACTTTGTATCAAAACACGAAGCAAAATTTATTATGATCTGTATCTGCCGAAACTAATCGAAGACGGAATGATTAAATACAGAAAAAGCCTTGCATTTTAAAATGCCAAAAGAATACAGACACTTTGAAAAGAGGACTAGGCCCATTAAGTAACTATGGAGTTATTTTCGTTTTAAAATGGCATACGAATACGTAATATTGGTCTCCTATTGAAGTAAAAATTATAACATTATAACGACCTTGGGTCGAAATATGAGGTCCAAGAGTACGTCTGTTTGCTTTGAGTTGTACGAAGCCTGAGAAAAATTACCACGTGTTTATGTGACACGGCATTACAAAAGTTTTGCACAAACCTAATTTTTCTCAAGTTGATGTGGAATGTGGATCACGTCCGCATGATAATATATCATAACATTGTCTGTGACAAGTTCGCTTTCCGGAATGCGCTGCGTCTCGACTTGTTATATTGATTACAGTACTTTGTTGCAGACTCTACTGCTAATTCAAGCATGCTTTTTTTCTGTATCACTGTCAATGCGATCAGGAGATTTTTATTCAAGTCGGCGTATTTAAACTCGTATTACTCGTGTGATTTTTTGGTAACATAACTTTGAGCTTCTTAAAATATGACTTGTTCGATATTCGATCTTTGTGTTTAACGGTTTAACAATTACTCTTTTATCACTTACTATTTGATGAAAGCCTTGTTTCTTCTTGCTACATCCTTCTTTCAAAAAATCTCAGTTAAAAGCTGAAAACATTTTGTTTAATATTCATTTCCAGATGAACTAATGAACGACAAGGTGTGTGTATTTGAGTTTAGCGTTGTAGCATTTTAGATGCAGTACGTGATATGAATTGCAGAATAGACCTGAAATAGAAATGAATACTTTTAGACGGTGTTGAAAAGACTTTTTTCGTTGAAATCACATGTCTGCGTATATTTATTATATTGCAACCGCTATGCATTGTTAAGTTTGACTCGACTTAAAATATAAAAAACGATTATTATACATTTAAACAGGTTTCAATGATTATTTAATGCAGTCCAATAAAAGATATTTTTGGTCAAAAATACGTTTGATGTAGCTATTTTTTCATATTATTGAATTCCGCTTTTCTCTCAGTATCATTGCCACAAGAATTAAATTCTTGATCACCGTATAAAATAAACACTATATTTGTATACTTCTTCATGAGTTAAATATGTGAAATTAAACAAGTTCAAGGAAATGCTTGAGAGATAAAATTTCAGTTGATAAATTAAAACTGTGGCAATCGAAACCTCGAAGTTTATTAAATTCCTTGTTTTTGGAAACAATTATTTTGTTGTAATTTATGATATCAATTTTAAATAATTGTATAAGTATATGTGATTAATATTCTAGTATTTCAGAATATCCAGATATTTATTTAAATAATATAGAATTCATCACAGAACATAATGAACATTGACGAAGCATTTCAAAAGTTGAGGAAGTGGGGACGTTATCAAACCGTCATTTATATCCTTGTGCTTGTTGCTTCTATCCCAAATGCTTTTACGACTATACAATTTGCCATCAATCATTTTGAACCGAGTCATCGATGTAGATTATCTGATGAAATTGAAAATTTATTGAAAAACGTAAACACTTTTTATTTTATTCGTAGTGGGGCTTGATAAACAATCAATAATTAATTAAATAAAACGAATTTGCTATCTACTATTTTTGTTACAGTTTTCAACAAATAAACTCTCCATTGCAGAAGTCAAACGACAGTGAAGAAATTCTTAACTATTTCATACCCAAAGAAGTCGATAGTTATGGAGAGATAATTAGAAACGAATGTCACATGTACAATCGAACTTATTCTGCAGAACTCTCGTTTATCAGTTCCAATAATTCTGTTGACATTATACCGTGTATGAATGGATACATATTTGACACGCCGTTGAATCATGATAGCGCAGTTACTGAGGTATAAATCAAACATCAGATCTTTCAACCTAATTCTTTGTTATTCACTCTTGTTTTCTTTTCATTTACTCCACTTACTACTTACTTTATTGCGTTATTTTCTTTGAGGAAGGTATAATCTTTTTTTAATTTACATTTTTTAGTTCGAAATGGTGTGCAACAATAACTGGAAAGCACCTTTAGTCATTACATTCTTCCAGACGGGAATGGCAAGTGGATCTGTAGCGGGCATGCTTGCTGATAGGTAAATTTTTACCTAGTGCAACCTTGACGCGATTGTTTATGGTATTGCATTCCTACATATTCACATTCGCGATACGAAGAAGACTGATTCCAAAATGCCGTATAACACACTATTCACGTTATTGGCATTGGCATTAAACGGGACATGTAAAAGTCAGTTTTATAAACCTCTTACATTAGTAATGTATGTTATTATAAAGTAGAAAATAAAAACTTCTCAAAATATATTCGTAATTTGTAGGTATGGTAGAAGGCCAGTGTACCTGCTCGCGACTTTGGCTCAGATTGGATCACTGGCGTTCATAGCTGCTGCATGGAACTATTATTATATCTGGCTGCAGCTTATTTAAATGGAATGACTGGAATTATCAATTATGTTGTTGCTTTTGTATTAGGTGAGATTCATTTTTAAATGTGTTTCTTTACATACACCGTGCTTTTTAACCTAATTTTCACTTTACTTCACTTCAGCAACGGAGGTTATTTCGGTGAAGTCAAGAAATTTTATGGCTATTTGTTCATTATATTCATTTTCCATCGGATATGCTATTGTTCCGTTGATTGGCTATTATACACAAACATGGCGTTCATACTTATGGGCATCCATGGTACTTGGCGCTTTGATCTATCTTCCGGGCTACTGGTATGTATTTTATGCGGCAAATAAATATTTTATTAAATTTTCATTGTCAAAAATTCTGAAAGTCAGTTATATTGTTACATTTACTAGTTTATAAATGTTTGGTGGCGTTTCGTTCCTATATCTAGCACCTGACTTCAGCAGAATATTTCATCTGATTATATGCGTCGATGGAAAAATCGGTTTTGACTCCGAAATCCCTCGTCTCGGCTGTAACTATATTGGCTACGTCCGCAACAACAAACTTACTTCTTTGAAAACCTAAAATCAGTGCTGTTTATAGATAAAAATATTTGTATATTTTCTATAAAAAAACACAGAGTTATATTTACATGAATTTACTTCCAACTAAGTTGAACTTTTAACCATATCTTGGTTTTCAGGCTGTTTCCAGAATCACCACGTTGGCTATTGACAGTCGGTCGGAAAAATGACGCGATTGTAGGTTTGAAAAAAATGGCAAAGATGAACAAAATGAATATTGATTTTGCATCAATAAAAAAAGTATTGTGATTCAATATCCAAGTTTTTTATTCTACTATTATCTTGGTAGTTAATTTTACGCTAAACAATTTACTTTAAGGTACAAGGAGTTGATTTCCGTAATACGATGGCATCTTTGTCAGGGCCAATAGAGACGCTTCGCATATTTTTCAAATCTACATTAACCTCTAGATGTCTGGCAATTTTCTTCGTTTGGTAAGTGAGACAAAATCATTGTTTGATATCACGCCCCAGATTTGTATCATGGTAGTTATCTCCAAGCATTTTTATGACATATGCGTGATATTCTAGAAATATTACTAACTGAAGAAAAGTTACCAATTTCAATATTGAGGTTTTAAGCTGTGCTGGTTTGAGACCGATGGCAATATTTGAAATACCTCATAAGGACCTTGAGCGACAGTCAATCATCGAAACCCCTCTTCTTTGGCAATTACGTTTCATTTATTAATAATTATAATAGAGCATTGCGGATATATAAATCTGTAAAAAATTCGATAACAAAGTTGAGTGACTCATTACGAGTATATGGCAGATATATTTTCGTGAGATCAGAGCTTTTTGCAAGGCAGTTTTGATGGTGTATAAAAGATTTATAAGAGTATATTAAGCCTTATGGCGCATCGCGCTGAGCGTTGTCCATACGCTCGCCACCGCACCTATGAGTACCCTGCGTGGGTTCGCAGGTTCGAATCCCACGCGGGCATAGTTATGTGCGAGAGGATTGTTGGACTCCTCGCTGCCGCAGGGTGGTTCACGTAACCGCTGGTCGGTTACGGCTCCCCCGCCAGCATGTTCATGCTTCCGAAAACAAATAATTGGATAACTAATCCCATACCCCAAATGAACTGGCAACCTGACTAGAGGCTGTGGTCGCCATTCGATTAGGTCTTGTCGGCTTTCCTCTCCCCCGAGATAAATATTTAAATCTTACCCTATTATCAGGATAAATTGATAAAAAATATCAGCATGGCCAAAGACGGGAATCCGAAATGGCATTGTCGAGAAAGTGTCGGAAGCAATTTTATTGAAACTGCCTCGAGGAATATAAAGGATTTATAAGTATTATCACATTATTGCTACACGAGGCAATAATTCCTTCCCCGCCTACCAGATAATCAATTTCATAATGAGCAAAATATAAAATATTATTTTTTCATATTTTTCAAGGTTTGTAGCAGGTCTTGTTTACTACGCAATATCGTACCACTCAAAGAGCTTCAGTGATGATCGATACTTAAACATATTGTACTCAGCATTGGCGGAAATTCCCGCACTTGTTATTGCATATTATGCAGTCAACATTTTCGGCCGTCCAAGATGCACAACTTTCTCTCTTTTGATCTGTGGAACTTCGAGCATTATCCTACCTTATTTACCAGAAGGTTAGATATATATATCTTCAGTCGTATGCGAGTTTGTATTCTGAGCAGATAGCAATTAAGCAACGAAACAACATACATTACGTTGTTCAATACCTTTTCCTGTTAAACATCAATCTATAACTTGTTACGTGAGTAATTTGCTTCGGCGTCATTTGTCTGTTTTTCCAAACGATATTTTATTTCCTATATTTTTCACACAACAAAAGGTAACTTGTGAAAATGAATATTTATAGTATTTGGAATTGCTGCTGATATTTGAACAAATGCAGCAGAACGAAACGCGAAAGCCAAACAAACTATTATCAAAACTTATAGTGTACCTATAGTCTTGCTTATCGAATAACACCCGACTTCTATGACCACAGCACGAGGCGCAAATTTTAATTTTTATAACGTCATCACACACAACTTAAAAGTGAAAAACGAACTATATTTTTTGAAATGAATAAAAGTAATAACCTTCTAGCGACAACAGCAAGATTTAACCACTTTTAAAGAAGCTTGAATAAAAAAAAACAGGAATTGTTCAAGTGTGTAAAGCACTGCAAGATTTGATATAGGTCCTTGACGATTTGGTGACAATATGATTCGATTGCAACAGTTCAACGCACTCGAAATAGATTTATACTGGATTTCTAAACTGAACTGTTCTATTGCGTATAAATTTAATGATATGAAGTCTTAAAAACAGCAAAAAAGCTATTTCCATTGGATTCTCTTAATGTTTATTTGTATACAGATGTATTTTCCGAGATAATAACGTTTATAAGTTCAATCGAATCTGTTTGAGAATAGTCCAGATTCCATCTGACATAACCAATAAACAAGAATATCGGTCAGAGATCGAAGACTTATCGATCGAAAGTTAGAGGATCCTAAAACAGCGCTCTTACTCCATAGTGACACCTTGTGTCTCATCACTAATTAATTGATACCTCGCTAATTATACAACATAATTCATCCAAAAGCAATATGCTTGCACATGAATGCACATGCAAAATCTGGAGCAGATTCAATCTCGCTTTCGTGAAATATCGCGTGCATCTAACAGACAAACAGACAATTACCGATCAACATACTTACCGATTAAAATCGATAAGTAATGATCGCGAATTACAAATCTACGTTCGTATTACTTGCAATTTAAGTTTTATGTCAATACGTCCTAAAATATACATAATATATATATTCAATACAACACCAGTGAATGCTTTCATAATACTCATGAAAATAATTTAATTATTAAAAATTATATTATTTTTTCAGACATTTCTTTAATCAGGACAATAACATCTATAATCGGAAAAGGTGCTGTAAGCGCAGTGTTTTATATCACCTACTTGAGCACATCTGAAATAGCCCCCACTCTACAACGAAGCGCAGCAATGAGCATGGCATCATTCTGCAGTCGTATTGGAGCGATCGTCGCACCATTCGTCATGTTCATGAGTAAGTATGGATTCACATTATAGTTTATATATAGCGTCGGTCTTACAGATCTTTTTCGGGAAAAAGGTGTTTGGAACAAGATATAGCGCACTTACTCAGAAACAAAGGAAAACCTACCGTAAAAGGGAGCCTGCTTAACAGTATATAATCTACGACTACGTCGAGGTATACATAACCGTTTATAGGCATATAAGCACACAAATGAGTCTACAATCCAAATTTTGCGAATATAATCTGTATTTAATTTTTGTTCTTTCGTTTATTGCAGTATTTACCATTGAAAAGATCATGAACGTACGTTTATTCAAGCTTGATTTTAATTTTAACAGGTAGAAAATGTATTCAAATAAATTATTAAAAAATGAATAGACGAGAATATCGGTCAGAGACCGATGACTTATCGATCGAAAGTTAGGGGATCCCCCAAAACATCGCTCTTACTCCATAGTGACACCTTGTATCCCATCACTAATTAATTGATAATCGCTAATTATACGACATAATTCGCCAAAAATCAATAGGCTTCTGGTACGAGATATGATGAATGCACATGCAATCTGCAGCACATCCAATCTCGCTTTCGTGAGATATCGCGTGCATCTAACAGACAGACAAACAGACAGACAAACAGACAAATACCTATCAACATACTTACCGATTAAAATCGATGAGTGCTAACACGCAACTTCACCATTTAGATATATTTCATAACACTAATAATATACAGATAAAATTCAATACTCTATACCAAACTGGATAATGGGTGGATTGACAATTCTGAGCGGAATCATTTGTATCGTTCGCATTCCGGAAACAATAGGAGTGGAGATGCCAGATACAATTCAACAAGCTGAAAGTAACAAACGGTATATGGTTTATATGTGTACTTGAACAGTTATTAGATTGGATTGAAGTTAGAAACACCTAACAAGTTAACTATATATTTTGTTAATATTTCACAGATACTATGGATTCAATATATTTCGAAAATTCGAACCAAATAAATATACCAATCAAAGCAAGGATAATCACACGGAAAAGAAATTGACAAACTTGCGTAATACAATTGTTTCTTTCGTACACATACTGAAAACTTACGAGTAGAACCCTTTACGATGAACCTTCTGTAATATTCGTGGTTTTTCACACCTTCAATAATTTGTTCATTCATTCATTAGCCATATCGGTTTATTCACCTACTGTTGACCATTATAGATTCGTAACATTGCGAACGGTACCTACAAGTCTCAGTCATGCAGTGGTGGTATGTCCAATTGGCCATAACGAAACAAGCGCAAAATAGTAAATTCGAGCGTTTCCAAAAGACATGATGACTGTGACAGTTTTGTTCATAACCGGTCTATGTAATTCAATGTTAATTAAACAAAAAAAGTTTTGCTTACAGTAACAGAGAATGTTTTAATTTATCTGTATTATCTATGGCTCTGTTTATTTTCAAATTAACTAGGAAATATATCGAAGATTTGCTCAGACTTTAGATTGTATTTATCGGAATAATACTGGGAAACTTTCTCTTTTGCCATCAACAGTGACCTCATCGGCACGAGCCATTGAAACGAATTTTGATCTTTTTCACAATGTTTGCGTGTAAACCGAAAACAAAAAAATCATTTTTCATTCTAAATAACTTCTTGTAGAAAAAAATGAATGAACTAATTTCTAGTTGATCGAAAAAAAATCCTTGTCTCGAAATTGTGCGAAATAATTATCCGCGTGACGGAAAAGAAAAATTCTTAAACGCCTTTAAATAGATGGCCCAAGCCAAAATAAGTGAAATCCCAATAAAGGAACCGAAAACAAATGGAAAGAAAATTAAGATTTGATTACCTTATTTGACTATTCTTGTAAGGTATGCTGTTGTTGTCCGGTCAATCTCTACTCAAGGTACAATTGTATAAGTTTATGTTTTATGTTTTGTCGTTGTTGAATTTATGTTTAATTGAACGGAGCAATAAAATTAAAAATAGTCCAAAATATATTTATCTCTTATGTAGTAAATTAACTGAAAAGTGGATAACTTTTAAATTAATACATTATTTAATATCGCAGTCTAGATTTGAGAGTCTGATATATATAACTAGTCAGCAACAACTAACAAATTCGAGCTAAAAGAAAATTCTTGTGAGCAGGAAAAAAATTTCTCGCAGAAGACCAAAGCATTAGTACTCCAATTGGTTCATAATTATGACATTGAATTAAATGAAATGTCAATTGAATGTATGTTCCAGATCAAAACTGAATCTCACTAGTTTGGTGTGTGTCTGGTTGAGAGAATCCTGTCAGATTTATTTCATCTGTCCAAGCCTGCAATCGCAGTATTTGTTTTACCAACTGTTAATAGCCAACGTGCGTGATTTGTGGGGAACAACCTGCAAAATATTATGTAAACGTGCAAAAAAAGAAAAAAACACTCTGATGATTTGAAACGTTAGTCTGAATTCATGTTATGAATCGCTAATTTTACATGGAATGATTTTGCGCCATTAATAACCAATCGATCTGGGAACAATGGCATATCCAATGGAAAATATTTGCCTCGAACCAACTGCCTGCTAACGAAATTTCTTGACTCAAATATGAATAGAAATCCCAAGAAGCAGCCGTTGATAATCATGGATATAATCTGGGCCAAAGGAGCAAACAAGTACACTGGTAGTCTACAATACCTTCAAAATTGGGCAATATTCGAATGATCGATTACACGATATTATCTACATCGGGGTTTCTCAAACTTTTGGTGTTACGGAGCCGTTGAAGAAGTTTATTATTATTCACGGAGCCCATAATAAATTTTAAAAAATAAACAAACAAAACAACACCTTGTTACTTAACAATGAATGTTCATGGGTAAGTTGAAATTACTTTACCCAATTCAAAAGTTAAACCTTTTATAACATAAAAGGAACTCAGATTGTGTACCAGCTTAGGGTTCAAGTTATGCGACATCTTGGTGCGCATACTTCAGGAGGTCCAAAATTTTAATATACAAACCGCAATGAATGCACTTATAATACAATGGAAGATTAATTGACCATAGCCTTCACATTGATTAGCTGAAATTTCATCTGAATCCGGGGAAATATGACGCGTGACCTCGACGTAGTATCAGAATGAATAGAAAGATACATAGCACGCGCAATATTCTACATTTCATCTTTAGTGCCTGGGGTAGCATGTTTCACATGTCGTGGGGCTCTTTAGAAAAATTTACGGTGTTTTTCCTTTTTTAGTGTATATTGATATCGTTTCAATCTATAAAAGGGCATAACGCATCGCCAATTTTGATCTGAGATGTTTTTATAAATTCAGAAAAGTAAACCAGAGATACGAAGGCTAGTTGGCACAAGAGACAGAAAGATTAAATTAGTATTCCTCCACTGACAGTCAGAAATTTGGTTTGCACATTCACTAATTTGAATAATCTTAGCATTTTTCCTTAAAAACTAAACTAAATTTTAAAACGGGATATTCACGCATTCAACAGTTGAAGCAGCGCACACGCTAGTCCCATATGAACGCTTTTAATGCACATGGTACGAATGCACATGCTTCGAATCAATGTAATTTGGGAGCTCCCAAAATATGTGCACCAAGATGGCGCACAACCTTAACATTGTATGTGTACCAGGTTAGGGTTCAGGTTGTGCGCCATCAGTTCTGTATGCGATCAGCATCGTCACAGGCTGTCAAGTGTGACGTCGTTAATTAAATAATATTTTAATCCACCCTATTCTCAACAGTAGCTAGCTCAAGGGAAGCGTTGGGACATGATCAAACATTAGGACCGTGGTTCGAACCCCACATGGTGGGGTGAGTTGTAGGGGTGGACCATTAAACAAGGAAGAGAGACAAGTCGAGCAGTTGAGGAGAAAGGGTCAGGCCCAAGGAGCAGCCAAGGGAAAAGAAACGAAAATCGATTAGCGGGATGGCCCACAGGGCTCGATCATCATCGAGGTTAAAGAGTGACAGACAGCAAGCGAGCCCAATTCAGCATCAGGCCAAGGAGCAGCCAAGGAGAGAGAGCCAAGAGATTCATCATCGAGATTAAAGATTGACAGACAGCAAGCGAGCCCAATTCAGCATCAGGCCAAGGAGCAGCCAAGGAGAGAGAGCCCAAGAGATGAAAAAGAAACGAAAATCGATTAGCGGGATGACAGGGCGAGATCATCATTGAGGTTTAAGTGAGAGAGTGCAGGAAAGGCAGCCCACGAGCAAGTGAAGACCAGCCAACAGAGAGTGCAGCTGAGTACAGAGCACCAGGGCGCTGATCTGGCGTGGAGGGGAAGGCAGTCGACGAGCAGGTGTGTGCAGGTGAGGACGTGGAGGAGGAAAGGCAGTTAGCGAGCAAATTGTGAATAATAAAAAATTATAATCCAACCAAACAGTGTGAGTTTAGCTGAGTACCGAAGAAAGTAGACCGCTGAACTGTAAGTAAGAAGGGAATAAGCCGTAGTGGGGCGTGGAGGAAAGGCAGTCCGGTTGACAGATGTGGCCGTGGAAGAGGAAGACCGGGATGGGGCGGTTAGAGGAGAGGCAGGCCAGTCAACGAGCCGATGGAGCGGGGGAGGAGAAGGGCAGGCAGTCAGCGAGCAAGTTAAGAAAAACCATATGGGGCGTGGAGAGGAAAATCAGGAAAATTGTGAGTTCAGTGTGAAAAACAAGTAATAATTATTGACGACGACGACGAGATGATAAAAATAATTAATAAAGAGGTAAATCCGCAATTCAAATTTCTTGATTGAAAAGCGGCATTAAAAATTATTAAAGCTAAGTTTTGTTCTAGCAAACTCGAGGCAGTTTTGATAAGTAACGATTTTATATAGTCGTAAGTCGACTCAACCACAGTTACGTCCAACACAATTAAACCAATGAACAATGAATGCATCGGTCATGAACTGCTCAATCATAAATTGTACTCATTGAAATTTATACGCCGACTTTTGGATTTTCGGAATGGCGATATTTTGCTTAAAAATATTCTTGAGGGCTGAAAAAACAACACAAATTCAACAAATCAAAATATCGCAAAAATATGATTTCTATGATTTCAGATTAGCACGTGTTTGATGTCATTTTAGAATATTAATATTTCATTTCATTTATGGTAACAGTTATCTCAACTTAAAGGCGAGTAACAATGAACACATAATAAACAAATGAAAATAATAAAAAAATGAACAATAAATCTGACAAGACATTATAAATGTTCGCATCAGCCACGGATTGAATATTTTATGCAACAGAAAACTCGTTATCCGCTTAAAAAGTCCTTTTTTCAACGAATGGCCTAATCGCGAGGAATGTTGCGCGGTAATTTTCGATTCCAAATTTTAAACCGACTCTCTATTTAGAAAATCCTGGCTGCGCTGCTGCTTATAGATAATGTCATATATATAATTGAATTGCCGCAATGTTTCCATATTTTGACGCCACAGTTGTCAAATTTCATTAATGTTGTTATTGCTTCTTTGGACAGTTACAAAATTAGCCGAGCAGTAATCGATTAGTTTGTGGAGCCCCTAGGTTTCTTTCACGGAGCCCTGGGGCTCCGCACGGAGCACTTTGAGAACCTATGATCTACATCACTCAGGAAAAATTATAGTAGGTCTTCAAATGAGTTTATACCTCGAGTGGTTAATCTTTTATATCTTGTGCTCGTTTGGGGAACAACTAAAATACCTGTCAGCAAGTATGCCAGCTATCGATCCACTTGTTATTCCTGATTGAAAAACTGTAATTTTTAGAGGTGCTTTCAGTCATTGTTGCAAAGCATTTCAAACTTAAATTATAATATAGAAATTAAATTTTAAAGTTGAGTACATAAAATGTACGATAAAAGGGGACAATCACAAAATAGGGGGAAATAACAATTTTGAAGTACTTATTATCATGATTCGGCAACATTTCAAATACGTTTCCCATTCGTACATGGTATTATGTAAAAGATTCATTGGAGATTATAAGAGACATTGCTGTAGAATAATTTCTGTGATACATGTGTCAATTACTTTTATTTCTCATTCCATAATTATCGGCTGGCATAGGTATAATTAGTTTTACTGCAAGTAGTTGCGAATATATATACCATGTATTGCATGTTATATATATATATATACGTCATGGTGTATTCCCAAAAACCTAAAAGTCAGATTCGATATGAACATATTGGCTTGAGTAAATACCTCATTACTTATCGATTTTAATCGGTAAGTATGTTGATAGGTATTTGTCTGTCTGTCTGTCAGTTAGATGTACGCGATATCTCACGAAAACGAGATTGAATCTGCTCCACATTTTTCATGTGCATTCATCATATCTCGGACCAGAAGCCTATTAATTTTGGGCAAATTATGTCGTATAATTAGCGAGTTATTAATTAATTAATGATGGGAACAAGGTGTCACCATGAAGTAAGAGCGCTGTTTTGGGGGATCCCCTATCATTTGGTCGATAAGTCTCGGTCTCTGACCGATATTCTCGTTTTTCATTGTTATGCAATACCCAGAATATGTACATTTATTGTGCGTCTTAGCTTGTTTCAAGCAAGATTTTAGATCAATTCCTGATCCCAAGTTTGGCACCCCTGTCATAGATTCATGCTGAACCGGCTATGTCACTTATCTCATTGTATTTAAATCTTGGTTTTCTGACTGACTTTTTGACAAAATGATTAATGATAAATCGAATTAATTTTAATAAATCTAGTCTGACATGTGTTTACTACTATACCGTAGACCAGCGGTTCTCAACCTGGGGTTCGCGAACCCCGGGGGGTTCACGAGAAGATTTCCAGGGTATTGGATGGCAGTCGAGTTTTTATATGTTGCTGTTTTTCAATATTCTTTATTACTACCAGGAGAAAAATGCGTGCCCAGTGAAACGTAGATTTTTGCTGATCGGGCGTTGTTGTGATTATGACGCAACAATGTGAAATTCACGGCTTTGCAGGCAAACTGTGAAATCTCTAAAGACTGCGTGCTGCGAGCATTGGAGAAAGTGATTATGCTTATTGAAACTTGGAAGAGATTTTTAGAATTCATTAGTTAGACGGAGGACAAGGGCAATAATATCAACACGAAGATTTAATTTAGTTACATCTGGTCAATTAATTGTTGCTGCAACAAATTGTTAGTCGATATATCACAACTTTGTTCGGTATCTGATTACCGGAGTTTCGCATTGGTTGTTTGGTGACTCGAGGGGTACTTGACAGAAAAAAGGTTGAGAACCCCTGCTGTAGACCAAACAATTTGATAAATCGCGGGAGAATCATAATTGCTGAATGGCTGCTAACACAATCGTAAACATAGCAATCGTCCTCATTTATGATTGTTACACATGTGGTACAATTTTTATCTGAAACGCCATACCCTCAGTACTCAAATATAGCGTATGGTTGTAATACCGATCCGAAAAAAATGCACGAATAATATAAAGGGCCAGTGATTGATGCAACAACATATTCAAAGCTGGACGTTTGTTGATCTATTTTTTCATGGACATGAGTCAGACTCTTGGATTAAGCAAAATCTGTTTTTCATTTCATTCCCCCTATGCCCACTCAGTGCTATGAGAGAATGCGTGCTAACTCACGGTAAGATATGAGTCTGTTGAATATGCATTGGTGTCTGTGTTCAGGTCGTCACTGTCAAAAAACTACTATCAATGATACAACCACACAATTATTTCCATACAAAATACGATCAAGTAATCTCCATTCAACAAAGTAGTCATAGTAAATTCAATCCGTATTTAAAGCTTCAAATAGAAATCGTGATAAATACTAAATATGGAGGAGTGAATAAATTAGATTAGTTAACCAATTTTCTATGTAGAAAAATTCCGTATTATTTACACTCAAGTTTTAGAAGGCGTATCGAATTCAATAGCTAAGAAATAGACCATTTGAATGTATCCATTTTTGCTTCGCTTATTTCGTCAACTGACACTAATTGTATAAAGTTGGTACTAGTTATGAATATACAGCAAACAATATGGCTATGGTGCTAATCCTGTATGTATACAAATATGATCTAAAGTTTTCATTTTAAAAAAAAAGTTGACGCAGTTGAAGTTATTCACAAAGTTAACAATTCCCTCTCCGCGTGATTATCTTTGTTTGAACTGTTAATCGTATTCGACTGGAATTTTTGACATATATTCAATCCATAGTATCTGAAAAATATATAATAAAAAATAATTAAAAACCCGGCGCGCTGACTGAAGTTAAAATTCCGGATAATTTTTATTTCTATATCCGAACAAACTCATTGAAAACAAATTATCAAGATATAAACACGGCCATGGTTATGATAGTGCGATAGCAAAAAAAAAATATTTACCGTTTGTTACTTTCAGCTTGTTGAACTGTATCTGGCATCTTCACTCCCATTGTTTCCGGAATGCAAATGATACAAATGATTCCGCTCAGAATTGTATTCCACCCATTATCCAGTTAGGTATGGAATATTGAATTTGCCTGTATTAATTCGATAACGATATGTAATAAATAAAAACAAAGAATTAAATAACGCGCTTTTTATAATTATTATAGTACACATTCAGTAAAAGTTTTCAATATTTATATCATGCTTCTTGTCGTTTTTGTTCTAAACTCATGATTAGAGAGACCCGCCGGATCCGCTTTATCTGTGAGGGTATAATGTCGATCTAAACGTATGTTGTGTATCGGGCGGGACGTGGCCTATAATGAAACTCGTTCCAATAAATATTTTTTCCCTCCCGATCGCGAATGGAGCTCGGATTGAGTACCAACTTCACCAGAAATTTAACACGATTGTAAGATGATATTTATGACGTCAATATCAATGATTTATTTATGTCGCCAGATGTCACTGTTGAGCTCTCTTTCTCTTGCTGTACTGCCATGCTGCTTAGTGCTATGTTTATAATGTATATGTAATATCCGTAATATACTCAAGCATCCTGAACAGTTGTGTGTTTACCCCACAAACAAACAAACGATTAAATGCATAAAAACTTCATCAAAACATAAGTAGTCTTGTACTCAACCCATAAACATAACAAATGGTGCGATGAACGCTCCAACACGACAGCAGAAGGAGGCAATACTCATTGATGCACTTCTTTGTAAAGTGGGGGATATTTCGGACGTGTTCAGGTAGATAATATAGAAAACTCCACTTACAGCGCCTTTCCCAATTACTGATATCACTGTTCTGATCAAAGACAGCTCTAGATAAGAAAATAACAGTTTTGATATGGATATATATGATGTTTCTTTTTAACTATCTGCGCGAAAACGAGAAATTCCACTTTCACTAGATATAAAATTTATGTGTTATGGTTTAAGATAACTTCACAGTGAATTTGAATTGTACATTTATTTAGAGGACATATGAAGTATAGGAAATATCAATTAAACTATTTTTTATGGCGTATAAAAATTTTATTAAACGCATCCTCACAATATATTTTTTCCTAACTACAGAAAAATGTTGATGGTTAGTTTAATAATCTTGGTTTCATTTTAAAACTTTACACCATTCAGTTTGAAAATCATCAAGACTGTTCGAATCTAGTAAAATATATAAGAACTGATATAAGAATTGTCCAGACGGGACCGTACAACATTGAGTTTAAGAAACCCTGATCTATATAGTATCCCACTATGCACATATACGAACATACGTACAACCTCACACACGAGAAACGGCTAACACGTAGACATAGGTATAACCATCGTAAATTATTGTTTTCCAAACCTGATGGTATCAAATATAAACAGTTTACAATTTTAAGTTTTTTATATTGATTAGTAATCCTTTTCTCTTTTTCCTGATTTTTATGCATTTCCTATATGTTTTACACCAGGAAAAACTTATATATATATTGAAAATGTTTTGTTGTAATACGTTAAATACCAATGATTTTCACATGATATTATTTCGATAAATTATAAATTTTGGTAAATAAACTATACAACAAAACAATGGTCAAGCAATTCACTGTACTCATGTTGCACTCTGCCTAGATATAAAAATGTTTTAGGGCTTTAGGCAACTTCATGCTCATGAAACGAAATAAAAATAACCTTACCTTCTGGTAAATATGGAAGATAATGCTAAAAATTCCGCATGTTAGAAGAAAAACAGTAGTGCATCTTGGACGACCAAGCCTATTCACAGCATAAAAACTAATGACATATGCTGGTATTTCCGCCAATCCACAGTACAATATGTTCAAGTACCGATCATCACTGAAGCTCTTTGAGTGGTACGATATGGCGTAGTACACGAGACCTGTTACAAACCTTTAGAAATATATAAAAAAAATGGTCATTCATATGCTGGATGCAGCAGGTACAATTAAACGTTCACATTTATGTTTAATTTTATAATGGTCTCACTTTTTGCTTAATACGAATTTTACTGCAAACGTAGATTGTCGAAATGATGCTACAGTATTGTATCTTTACAAATGAATATAATACAGTTATACTACATAAAGCGGGGTCTACACTTTTTCAGTTTTTGGTTACGACAAGTGAACATGTCATTTCGAGATCCTATAGACTGTATAGAGTATAGATATATTCTGATACTATTTACTAATGAGCATATAAACAATGTTAAACTATTCTACTTACCATACAAAGAAAGCTGCTAGAAATCTGGAGGTTAATGTAGATTTGAAAATTATGCGAAGGGTTCAAGTGGCCGGACGGCGATGCAATTCTAACGTGAGAATCAGCAACACGTGTCTTAAAGTAAATTGTATTGCGTAAATTAACTGCCAAGACTACTTTATCTTTTGAGTAAATTAATAAATGAAAATACTTTTTTCAATTCTGCAAAATCAATATTCTTTTTGTTCATCTTTGCCATTTTTTTCAGTCCCATGATCGCGTCATTTGTCCTACCAACTCTCAATAGCCAACGTGGTGATTCGGGGAACAACCTGCATACGAGGAGTAATGAATAAGAAGAGTAAAATTTGTATCTATGTTGATGAGAACATATTTAAAGTGAACCAATGCCTCGGTAAAGGTAATATACCACATACTAAATATGAAAATTGAAAAAGATGAAGTTAAATAAGACTGCGGTGCCGGCGAATTTTGTTGTTATTGGGGCTTGTCAACGCTTAGATTTTGGAATTCCAAAGTTTATCATCCCATCGTGGTAGATGTCGGAGTTAAGGATCCAAAAAGATCGGAAATAGATTGAACTTTTTCGGACTCTATATTTCTGGACGAAACTTCCAAGAAGAAAGAGTCGTGTAATGTAACGAATAGCAAAAATGTAATGTACAAAAGTAAATAATACATCACATGATTGACATACCAGTAGCCCGGTACGTATAGCACAGCACCCAATGCCATAGATGCCCAGACATATAAACGCCAGTGTTGTGTGTAATAGACAATTAACGGCACAAGAACATATCCAATTGAATATGAATACATTGAACCAACTGCCATAAAATTTCTGGATTTCACCGAAATAACTTCCGTCGCTGAAATATATTATTGTAAAGATTATATTATATAGCAAACCACGGAATACATGAGAGCATGTATAAAAATATATCTTACCTAAAACAAAAGCAACAACGTAATTTATCAATCCTGACACACCACTTATATAAACTGCAGTTAAATATAAATAATAGTTCCAAGCAACAGCTGTGAGCGCCATGGATCCAATCTGAGTCAAACTTGCGAGTAAGTATACTGGTCTTCTACCATACCTACAAATTATGCAATATGATTTGAGAGTTTTGAAACAAAAATTTTAAAAATATACATCAATGGCTTCAACTTTGTTGCAAACTTCACTGTCAGTGGTATTAGGTGACACTGTAAGTATCGTATAATAATTAAAAAGTAACAAACGTTGTTTTTCAATCATAACTGCCACTTCACCTGTCAGCAAGAATGCCGGCCACAGATCCACTTGCCATTCCACATTGGAATAACGTAATTGCTAGGGGTGATTTCCAATCATTGTTGCATATCATTTCAAACTGGAAAATACGAAATAAACCGTATACTTCGGAAGTAATACCAACGCATATGTTAGAGGAAAATTATCGAATTGGAATCTACCTCGGTAACTGCGGTATCATGATTAGGCAGCATATCAAATATGTATCCATTGGTACATGGTATGATGTCAGAAGATTCGTTGAGATTTATCAAAGACAATTGTGTAGAATAATTCCTGTTATACATGTGACATTTACTTCTTCTTATCAGTCCGTAATTGCCGACTTCCTCGGGTATGAAATGATCAAGAATTTTCTCCCTGGCGTTTGAGTTCTGCGAATGAGAAAATTTTTTATGGAAAAACTCATAACCAATTTTTGCCAAGTAAACTATTTCAAGTAATATATATATATATCATGCTTTGTTTTGTTTAATTATTGCTTGCTTTTCGTGACACACGCTATCTTACATAAAGAGTACTTACGTTTTTCAATATGTTTTCAATTTTATCCGGTAATCTACAACGGTGATTTGGTTCAAAGTGGTTTACAGCAAACTGCAGTGTAGTAAAAGCATTTGGCAGAGACGCAGTCAACACAACGATATAAATCAGCGTTTGATAACGTCCCCACTTTCCCAATTGATTGAATGCATCTTCAATATTCATGTTCTTGTGTGTTCTTCTATTTTATAATATAATTTTGACCGCTTTGACGCTCGTAAATTTAAATAAAATAATTAAAAATGTATACAATACGGGGTTGTATCGTTTTTTTTAAATGTATATTATGCACACTTGGCATAGTTGGTCTAACGCAGTATAAAGAGCACTTTAAAGAACTAATCTAAATAAATATATTAGTATATATCTCCATAATTGTTATTTTCTAGAAACTGCAGTATTGACCCAAATTGTGATGCGCTTCCTGATTTTTCTGAATGTACTAACGTTGATTAAAATTGGATTTTGATAACACCACACTTGTTGTAGATAGTATATCTGCCTTGACTTTAATTATATGCTCTCCAGAATGGTATTCAATGTTATCAAAAGTATTCTGCAACTGTTTTAGGGAATTATCTTTCAAAACTTCTGAGAATGCCACCCTGTTTGCAGCTTCAAAAACTGTGAACGGATTTCTTCGAGTATTGCGTTAGAGTATTACGCATAATATCAATGTGGGAAAGTATAAGCCTGAAAATATTCACATGAATTCTTTGAAGAAATCGTGAATCGTGTGGTATTTGAACTGATAAACAATATGATTGTAAACATTCCTACGCCGTTTTGTTGATTAACTAATGGAATACGTGGCGCATAATATCCATGTGGAAAATTTTGAGCCTCAAACGATTTACAATAATTGATTTCAAATTTCAATAGACAATTGTGCAAAACGTTAAGTATTTATTCATGGATTGAAAAGGTGTCACGTGCACATATAGATTATACTGCTCTATAGAGAAATTTTCATAACAACATTTTTTGCGGTATCCAAATATGTGGAATTCACTACACCATAGCTGTTTTCTGGTCGTATTGTCTCAAACTGTTCCAATCCTGGCTTTTGGCGAGCTCACTTTACTTGTAAATCCACCTCAAATTGATATTTTTAATTTTATCCTGAAATACCAGCTTATATTTTCTAGACGTGTTTTCTATTCTATTTCTCCATAAAAAATGCCTATTTGAAAAACGCAGATTTCGTTGTTCTATTCTAATATTCTGTATTGAAATTACTGCATCGAAATATTTGGTATTAAGTAGTTTTAATAAAAAATCGATATTATAACGAATTGTGCGTCTCAATACTTCCTTCCCTGGTTTTGTAGCGAGTCAAACACATAGCATGACGCGTCGTTACCGGAAAACCATTTAAAATGACACTCAAAGCGACAATTGATAATAAATGAAGATGATTCGGGTGGTCAGTTGAAAACAAATATGTATTATATATATTTTTAAGATTGACAACCATATTAAGTTCCATTCCATAAAGAGTCTAAAACAGTGGTTCATCATCTTCTGCGCAAGACACTCACTAACGGTTAGTTCACTCCCTACTGAGTTATATTACAATTAATATGAGAATGGATATGGGGACACACTGAATTATGATATTGTATAGAATCAATGGTGGTTACCACTATCAAGTTTTTTGCGCTGGGCTATAGAAAAGTAATATATGATAATGCATATGTTTTGGCTAATCAATAGGGATTTTACATTCTTTGTACAGAATGACTTATAATTACAGTATAAGATGAATAACAGTATATACTACGACACCCTTCCGAACTTCGGTCTCATGTTCTCACAATATGCTACACCTCTACGCGTTTTTTGTGACAAAAATCCCAATTGTGACATTACTTTTGCGAACACGTAATATATGGAGGTTGTTCAATCATGAATCAGTGTTTCCCAAGCTTTGTGTCGCAAAGTATCATAGGGTAAAAACGTGGCAGCATTTATTTCGATCAAGTGAAGCCACGCCATGAGGTCAAAATCTCGCTGGTGGCAAACAATCGCAGCTTTCTTAATTTGAGATAATTTTTAAGAAAATAAATGTCATGTAAAACTGATTGTTTTATATTAGTCATTTAATATTGCGACCATAAAATTGCTAATTTCGTTTAGTAGGAGAGATTATTCTTGGGTCGCGAGATTTACAATTTTTTTTTTAATTCGGGTCGCTTGAAAAAGGGGCTGGAAAACTGCGTCATAAATCATATATTAAAGGTCACTTAACGACACAGGGGATGGATTGTGACGTGCTAATAAAATAACGAGAATATCGGTCAGAGACCGAAGACTTATCGATCGAAAGTTAGGGGATCACCAAAAACAGCGCTCTTACTTGGTAGTGACACCTTGTGTCCCATCACTAATTAATTAATAACTCGCTAATTATACGACATGATTCGCCCAATATCAATAGGGTTCTGGTCCGAGATATGATGAATGCACATGCAAAATCTGGAGCAGATTCAATCTCGCTTTCGTGAGATATCGCGTGCATCTAAAAGACAGACAGACAGACAGACAGACAGACAAATAGCTATCAACATACTTACCGATTAAAATTGATAAGTAATATCAACATCACCCCTACAATAAACAGAATTCGAAGACATAGATGCAATTTATTCATGTTTTACACCCACAAGTTCAAGTTCTTAAAATGACAATGTCCGTAGATTTCCATGTATTAAAAGGAAACGTCTAAAAGAACGATCGAGAAATGATTGCGGGAAACTTGATAGGATGTGAATGACGCGGCGTTTTCAAAGTATCATATGCGCGTTTAGGAAATCCTGCGTGTTGTGAGACGCGTTTTGTTCTCATTACCGTATATGTCGATAAACAGGGTGTATCTGAAACGGTATCAGATCAAACTGTATCAGAATGAAATCCTCGGATGTTTTAAGGCATTTTATACCAATATTACAAATTTTATTTTAACAGAAGCATTCAATTTATCAATGATTCACTAGTCCAGAGAGGGAAAGAGAATTGCTTTATTGTTATGTCATAGGTATTACATGTCCTGATCCAACATGGTAAGATAAATTTTCCAAATGCTCAATAGAGGCGTAAATTGACGAGGGGTAATACTGTTTTCTGTAAATTAAAAAAACCTATTATAGGAGCGTTATAAGATGCACGGCTCGTGTAGTTTGAAACTGAATTCTACATAATGTCCTAGAACTTTGCCCATTTGCGTAGGAAATCCTGTAGTCATAATGTATATATATTATCGTATTTATACTGTTCGAGTAACAGAGCTAAAATCATTCTGCGATTTTGTCACTATGAGTATAAACGACTAGTGAAATATGGAAACCGCAGGTGCCTCTCATTACTACCTGCCGTGCAAAGGATTGTTGAAATGAAGAAGCTAGAATAATCGAAAAGTTATTTCAACTCTCAAGGATGTCCTACTCCTATAAAAATTATCTGGCATGTCAACTAATTTATAGCTAATTTTATTGCCCGGTACGTGTCTTCTGGCAAAGATATGGTAGAAGTAGACCTCGGAAACGAACTAAGGTTTGTCCGATTTGCACTGTCCCGTTTTTTGTTCCAGATATATGGTAAGCCTGTACATATATTCAAATAGAATGAATGAATATATATAACGGTACATAACAAATTACTTACGTTTGTCAAAGATTCAGATTTCATGGAAACTCTTAGAACAAGAAAGCGATGCTCAAATATAAGGACACGAAATCCAAAGCAATGCAGTAGTCCAGTGGCTCCCAACCTTTTTACTCTGTAAAACCGGTAAAATTAAATAATATGTACCCGCGGACCGGCAAAAATTGAAATGAGTTGAAGAGAAAATAATAACATATACTTGCGTAGTGTCGAGCAATCACTATGCAGTGTAAACTAATAACATAGAGTCCATATAAAGTTTTGTAATAATCTTTAGCCACTGAAAAACAACAACAACAAAAAACGATCTATAGGTCCACTTTGTGTTCAATAACATTATATTATTCCAAAACCTTACAATCAATGAGTAATCGAAAGTTAGTCGCTGCGGAAAACAATGGCAAGGATGGTCTTATTAAAATCGATATATACTGGCTATATGACACTGCGACTGAAATATTATGTAACAGGACCTAACACAACGGGAGTATCTGTTTCTCAAAGTAGAGAACCCTGACGCAGCTCTACCAGGAGCTTTTTTTTGGGGGGGGGGCAGAAGCTAATTAAAAATGATGATGTCCTCATAGCATAATTGGGTATGTTTAGGTACGAATTTAAGATGTAATTCTTGATCCTTTGCAAATCCTAATGAAACATTCGAAAAAACACGCTGAGATTGGATGCAGTCTGATATCCAAACTCATCTGCAGCAATTGAGAAATGAGTTTCCAAATCCAATCATTCTCAAAGAGGACAGTCTGCAAGAAAACTGCCGAGAAGAATTCTCAGAATGCAAATGCAATTTTAATGCAAAAGACGACTTCGGAACAATGTCACTGGGCGAATTCTGGGTTAAATATGCACAAGTGCACAAAAACGTGGGTAATGTTACTCTGCAAATTTTGATACAATTTTCATCAACGTATTTATGCAAAATTGTTTTTTTCCCACCAGTACACGTGAAGACAAAAGCACGGAAACAGCTTAACTGTGATGGCGATTTACGATGTGCATTATTCTCCACAAAAAAACTTGAACAAATCAATAGATCCAATTACAAATTGGCCATGTTGGTTAAGTTCACCTCGCACATTATTTAATCATTTCAGTTGAAACCAGGTACGATGGCGTCATTAGGCCTCAACACGAATTTTCCCCATTATCTACGGTAATATGTACATTGACCATGCTAAAGTTATTAGTCTAGTACAGGGTGGTCCAAGGTTGTCGGCCTCGCGGGCCACATCATAATATTTGTATTGTTCGTGGGCCACAATAGTGTCAGGAATAGATAAACCGTGCATTACAAAACAAAAACTTTTTTTTATCAAACTCATGTTTGGATAACTTGCCGATTGATTGATTACCAAATTTGAGTTACATGAGGGTAATTACAAAATTTTCTGACATTTAGTAGC